GGAAGAGGCCCACCAGGAGCCATCACACCTGGTCACCAGCCTATAGGCCCAACACCCCACACTTCTCCAGTGTCCCTCTTATTACTGTAGTCCTCTTTCTCCTCCGTGTCCCCCTTTTCCATCAGTCGTCGGCAGTGGTAGCCTTTCTTTTTACTCCGTGTCCCAAAAAACTGAGACGAAGACGCGAATTACTGTACTCTCGCAAACAGGATAACGATTGCAACAACCAGGGGCTAAAATGTGACTATATTTGGTTAGACATTTTGGGAATCTGTTGATGTTGTGTTCCCCCCTCCTCACAAACCCTGCGTGGTTTGGCGTGTTTTGTCTCCGCGTGAAAAGAGACAATTACCCACACCGGATTTCTAGGTCACAGAGATATAGCCTGACAGTCGGAAAGGAACTGCGTAGCCCCAAAATTATACAAGTCTCAACTGTAGACTGCACCAGAGTAAATGGGAGATTTAAAAAAAGGACTATTTTATTATACTTCTGTATCTATATTGACTTTTTGAAAGATTTTCTTCCTCTTTGGTGAGTTGCAGCACATTTTGTTTGCTGGAGTGTCCCTTCAATTAAAAAAAGACAAAAAAAAAACACATTTTGAACAATTACCATGAAGGAATTATTGATCGTATGCTTTCAAGCATAGCTGTTCCTTATTTTCTTTCATTTTACTGTAATAACAGTTGTCAAAAGAGGGAGAAAAAAACTAATAAGAGAACTATGAGATATTTCTATGTAATTGTACAGATAACTAGCATTGCACATTATAGTAAGCTTTTTTTGTTCTGAGCAAACCCTTTGTCTCTGTAAATGTAGTGGTTAGGAGCAATTTTGTTCTGTTGTGCTGGCCTTTTTTGGGTTTCTGGTACCAGTCTGTTTTATTTTCTGTTTTTTTTTTCCTCTTTTATCACTTTTCAAAATCCACCTGAATAGAAAACAAAATGACACAAAAAAAATCACAACAAAACACAAAACGAGCAGACATTTTGGTGCATCAGCTTTGTTTACATGTCTTTTTCTGTTTCAGGTTGAGTTGTTTCCCCTTTTCTTCTTCTTTTTTTTTTTTTTACAGTGTAGATGGCAAACCCTTGATTTGCAGACCGAAGTGGAGACAGAATAACTGGAAGTGTCCCTCAGAAAGGTTCAGAAAGCATTCTGCATCTCTGTTGGCTCATGCTTCACAGAAAGAGAACAAATTGAACATTGATGAGCACTAGGCGCTAGTACAAAAAAAAAGAAAGATGGTTGTTTTACTTATTAAAGAAAGAGCTTTTGAAGTGAGAAAAACTGGAAGTGGTTTTCTTTTCTTCCTTTGGGAGAACTATATTTATTTGTTTTATCGACTGAATCAAAATGGAGGATGGGCATAAGTTTAGTGGCACAGCTAAGCTTTTATTATGGCTTCTTATTTATTCTTTTTTTTTTTTGTAAAGGTTCCCAAGTTGAATGACCTTATGAAAACTAATATTTGTTGTAACAGTGAAACTTGTTTGCCAACAAATAAATAACTGATAAAGATTTATCACTTAGATACGACAAAAGTTCTGGTGTTTTGTCCAGGTTTTGGAACACTTTTATATGGATTACAGCAAAGGACCTCCAAATGAAACAATGCTCAATTTTTTTTTTGTGTGTAATCATCAGTTAATATCCCTCATTAGCCCTCTGTCCATTTTAGTGCCAAATAAACTTTGGCCCAGAAACAGTGGATGTGCTCTGTATGCTCTGGTCTGCTTTACAATAGAAGCAGTGATTTCATAAGCTGTAATAAATATTTCAATATCAGTGCTGGTGTTACCAATGAGTTCTTTACAGGTATTGAGTGTTTTACATGTGTGATAAGCTGAGCCAAAGACACGGACGTCAAGAAGAAGAAGACAAGAAGGTATGTAAGTATGCTTTATTTAAAGCTACTATAAGATGTTTTTTGATGTTGAAATTCATGTTGATGCCTTTTCATGATTTCCAAAAACAAACGCGAGCATCAAGAATCGCATACAGTCATTGCATACTGTCATTTTTAGTGTCAACAAGTGGTGCGAGGGGGGTAGGTGCTGGCCAAACAGCTAAGAAGACAGCTCTATTTTTACAAGACAATCACAAGATATGATATATTTGACCATCAAAAGTCAGCAGGATGAGTATAGAGTTCAAAAATGGGCTCACATAAGTAAGGCAAATTTTACTGTGCGAATACAGTTCGAGCCAATAATTTTAATGTTTGTCAGAAAGTGCTCAAGTGCTTCTAAAATTCACCCTAAACTTCATTATCAGTTACATGTTGGAAAGCAGTGAAACTCTCACACTTGTCAGATCTTCTGCATTTGTAATGCTCAGAAACCCTGATATACGTTGCTATTTATGGCATTTTGGCACCACAGCCTGAGTATGAAGCTGCCAACTGAGTGCAGAGGGACAAGATGTTGGGGCTTTATTGAGCATGAAAGCTGCAGAAATGGAAAGAATCATGTTTTAGGCTTCTTTTTCATTGCAAAAGGATAATGAGAGAAAGGAAAGCTATTACAGTTTTTGCCTTAATTCAATCTGCTAATTATTCCAAGTCTAAATTTAAAATTAATAAAACTTACTCAATTTAATAATCTAGCAGACATGGTGCAACCATGTGCCCCCTTCATGTAAAAGTGTCTGACTCTTGTACAATACCACACATACAGTTTGTTAATATTTCCTGTGCTTCTCTTCTACTATGTTTTCCTATTGTGTTTTACTTGTTTCTGTTTGTGTAGTATAAAGTAAGAAAGAGGAAATTCAGGCAGCATTTCACAAAGCTGGTGTCATGTCAAATGCCTGAATCACTGGGAAAAATTGAGATATTTGCCCCCTTTTATTACAGCCTGGGTCTCTCGGGTAGAGCTAAGACTTTGTTCCCTCATATGCTGCAGCACTGATCTTCATTCAGAGATATGACTTGGGCGGACAGGAAGAGACCCGGCCGTCACCACTGCATCACTTTGACTGGCATTTGCGAACTCGAGTGAGTCCATGAAATGTGCTGAAGATGTGACTCTGGCCCCCATCCTCTTTATTAATGAGATGTTATGCAAGCTCATAAGCCACCGCAGGCCCCGGACGCTGCCCAGAAACATGCTGGCGTTGCACAAAAAGCTGCTGCAGCTCACTTCCCATTGGCTTTGGATACTTCTAATGCTGTGCAGATGTTTACTGGCACATAAAAAGATACAAGATTGCAGTCAGTGTATCATATTGGAAGTCAGAGGGTATCCTTTTTATTCACTGTGTTTACCCAAGCTTGAACATTTTCTAACTAGCACAAGAGGATATTGATTTTTTATCAGACTTTCGACTGAATGCCTTAATTGCTCAAGGTTTTCTGCTTACCTTCTCAGCAACAAAGAAAGTGTTGACATGTGTTTAGTGCTATCGAAGTAGAGCACTCTCCAAAAGAAACAATCAGTATACAATATTCAAGCTCAGGCTTTTATTCTGAATGCTGCTAAAACTCTTGGAAGATGCTCAAGGAGATTCTTTTGTCTACAAACACATAATCATCGTAAATACTTGTGTATGCTTATTTATCCTGGTAATTGTGTTGCTTATGCCTTTAAGACTATATTCAATTAGTTAAAATTATATCCTAATTACTTCTATTTCTGTAGTTATTGAACAGAGCTCACCCAGTAAAACAATTACATTGCAATGGTTTTCCTTTGATATAGCTTAAAGAAATCTCAGTTTTTTTTATCTTTTTAAGATCTTTCACATGTGGCCCAATCTGATATTGTCCAAGTGTAATGTGATTTTAACACAAGTTCGCACTGTTTTCTTGCCTTGACATTCAATTACACAGGAAATCCTTTAAGCAGTTCAGCAGAGGATTGGGAAATGGACAAGAGACAGAGCAGTCGCCCTGATAAGAAAAAGTGTTCATTTGTGAACTGTCTGGTTAGGGAGAAAATATTGGAAACCTATTCTTCAGTCGTTCGACTGAGGTGTGTCTGTACGATGTATGCATACTATATGTGAACAGATAAGAGCAAGTGGTCATAGAGATTCCTGCAACAACAACAACAACAAGAGCGCAGATGCGATTCAGAAATGGTATGTTTCAAAGCTTGTCCCCTGCAGTGAGAAATCAATGTATGAGTGGTTGGTAGAATTCCAAATGAAAGGTAAATCAATGTCATCTCCAGCTTTGTGAGTTTGGACAACTTGTCATGTGCAGCACACAACAGATAAAACCTCTCACTCTCTGTCTTGCTCTTTTTTTTTGTTTGTTTACATTGATTGAAGAAAGGGATGTGGGGTCAATGTTACTACTTTGGGGGCCAAAGTGTTGAAAACTTGGAGTCATGTGTATCCTGAAGATAATGCTTGGTCAGTTCTGACATGTTATGAAATATAAAATATGATTTTGTTTAATTTTTATAGCTAATATAAATACAGGAATATCAGGCATTAAACCACAAGGTAGAGTCATGCAGGTGAGGGTACAGGACTCCCACAAAACCTGATCTGAGGCTGAATCGGAATTGGCTTATAATACAGCAGGCTATTTGAGTGGAGATTATCTTAACTTTGTCTCCACAGTCAAAAATTGGTAATTATAGTAATTTGAAAAGTAGCTTTTTAAAGTGTAGCCTAGGTAATTTTTTAAAAGTTTTTGTCAAGTCCAAATTTACTTTAATGTACTTTAAAAAAAAAATGCAGCCTTTAATTTAGTGGATGACGAGAAATTTATAAAGGTTAACACAAAAACAAAACAAATTCAAGGTCAGTTAAATGATCCCTAGTAAAGCTACAAGATAAAGATGTAAACAGACGTGTCTTAAGGCATTGAAATGTAAGTTTGTTCATTTAAGTTTAAAAATACTAAATTTTTATTTTTACATAATTTGAGTCTTGTAAACGTAAATTATATATAAACCTTTAAGTACAGCCAAAGTTTTGACTGACTGTCCTGAAACTTTTAGCATCAAAAGTGTTGCATTGTGGGTTGTATGTCTCATGAACGTCACTTAGCTCTGACAGCTCAGGTGTTAGCACGCTCTATTGATTGAGTTTGGCAGCGTTTTACGTCGGTTTCAGCCAGGTTTTAATCACAAAATTCGCTTTTTAGGCTTTATTTATCGACTATTCTCGCTTCCAAAAAAACAACCGTGGAGAAACACGTCTTACTTTTTCTTTAATTGAATGAGAGAAAATCTGACAAGTAGCTAGCGTTACCTTGAACGTTACTTAAGTAACCTGCTAGTAATTCCTCTGAGCTCCACACGCGACCGGAAATGACAATTACGGATTACAAAGCGCTTTCACCTGGACAAGAAATCAACAGGTAAAACTTCCAGTCGATGATAACATTTTACTGTTTAGAGAACTTTAAAAATTTGATAACAATTGTTCACTTGTTTTCATGAATGCGTGTACATCAAGAAATTGTAGCATTAGGACTACCATGGCTAAGTAATGCAATCTAGTACAACAGCTCTGCCATAAATTCTCCTTTTAGAAAACCCATTAAGAGTTTTTAAATGATAATTTTTGAGTTTTGATTATTTATTAATTCATGTTTTTTTTAATCAAAAATTTAATTGAATTTTCCATTTCATTCAAGCAGAACACAAATACACAAAGATATAATGGAAATACACGACGGGACAAAAAAATAATAATTATTTAATTTGAATGTAGGCTATTAATGATGTGGTGTGCACTTAATATTTTGTTTACCTCATCAACAAATAAGAGGGGAACAAAATATTGGTCATACCTCTCCAATGTAATGCACAACAGTACACCACCACAGCTTAAGCATTTAATGTAGAAAACTATCATCTCCAGAATTGAAACTATTTTAGACTGAAGCATCATTAAAATAAACTGGACCTGATTCTAAAAGTCCAAATATTGTTGGTTTAAACGTGAACAAAGCAGTGGTGATATTTACTATAAATGTCCTTACATGTTGTTTTACATGCCCCTCATGCATTGCTCTATGTCTTACATTCCCTCCCTGTTCCCTTTGTCACATTTGGGCCCTCATAAATACACTTCATCATGCCCTATCACAGTCTTCTTTTACGACTGAAGGGATACGCTGTAAAGGACCTTGTACCCCTTTAATGCCTGACAGTATCACAATACTTACCCACTCGGGAGCAGCCAACAAGAACCCCCTCCCTCATGTCACAGGCAAACAGGTTACGTGACATTGGGCAAAAAATCCTCAGTGAGTTAATTTGGAGGATAATTTTCAGCTCAGAGGCCACAGGAGGAAGAGCGTGCGGGCGGAGAAGCAGTAATGGCTGTCCTGGGAATTAGTGTGCTCCGGCAGGTCACAGGATGGAGTGTGCTGTACAGTACATAACCAGACAGACTACTGCAGTGTAATGTTGTTCACCTGTTACATAACTCTTAAGTGTGGTCTCAACGGCCTGAAACCTCCCAAGTCAGCTCAGCTGAAGTCTTGTTTACAGACACTGTGGACATGAGCAGAGATGTTAGAGCATACAAACATTTAACCTGGACTTGGATCCCAGAAAGAGATTTTATATAATATACTTTGCTTGGATTACTTCTTTTTGAGGTTTAGTCACAGTCTTTCCTGCTTTTTTTTTGTTTGTTTCACAGACTAATTCTGAATGGTATGGATGGATCCCTTAATTTTTGAATGAAGTAAGTAACTTGAAAGTAACTTGAACAGGTTTTTGTTTTAAATGGGTAACACAAAGAGACTTCACTGGATGTAACAAGTCTTAACTATAAAAATCCAAAGGTGGTTTAGAACCCTAGGAAACATTTTTAAATTGATGGATTCAGTTTCTAACTTCAGGATTACTTGTGTGTATTGTGGCGATCTACTAGTAAATTATGTCCTCACTTAATAAACTAAAGAGTGAAGTTAAGCATGCAAGAGAGCGTGTCTATCACTTCTTATTTCCAAGTTTTAAAAATAAAATTGAAGTTCTGTACACATTAGTCTGGTGGAGTGGTTATGTGACAGTTTCAACAACTTTATTTTTTGTTTTCCAGATTAAGATGCTGCCAAACTGTACCATGCTGCAAGATACCTGTCGTCTGTCATCAGTGCTACATCAGGTTGGTAGACCATTGGAGCAGAATGTATTAATTCAGTCACCATTACCTTGAGCCCAGCCCTGTCTAGTGGTGGATGGCTAAGACTTAACGTATGACCGACATTGTAGACATATATTAGTAATGTGAATACTTATCTGTACAATGTTAGCTTGATGCTGGTTGACTAAACATGCACAATCTTTGTCTACTTTGTGTATGAAGCTTCTGTACATACTGGTCCTCATTTACCAAACGAACACTGCCCGTACAACCATTTCCACACAAGGATCGGCATTTATCAATTTGAACGTGAGCGTACGATACGATCAAATCTCACGACAGGTCTCACATCGTGTACGCAAGTTTAAGTGCAGATTTGCGGTGCAGCCAATGTCTGTCTCAAAATAATTGATAAACAAACCTCAAACCTGTCATTAAACACAATCAGACAGATTTCAGTAAAGATTAAGACGTAAATAAAATAAAATAAATTTGTTGTGTCCTTAGTGAATAGGCCTGTTTGATAACTCTGCCCAGAAACACTGCCACAGAGCAGGAGCGCCGTTTTAACATCACACACAAGAACCCCAAACTGATACCGTAACAAGTAAACGTGAAAGCACAAAAGTGTGATGTGGTGTTAAGGCACTATCATCACAGTGGCCACATCAACATACTGTGGGAAAAATAATTTGTATTCTACACATAAGTTAAAAGTGACTGAATTGAAAACATAAATAGTGATTATAAATGCAAATCATGGATCTTGCTTCTTGGAATTGAGGATGTGTTTCCTTGCACTTGATGTTTGAATATATATTTTTTTGGGTGGACGGCGTTGTAAACAACATCTTCCTCAGATAATGAATTCTTTTATAAAGATGAAAATTAATTTAACTGCTTAATATTTCAGTCCATGTGTCCCACTGTTTGTGTTGTACTCTGAAAGAGGCTTTTTGTAGAGGCTTTCAAAGGTCATTCCAGGTGGGTCAGCGAAACAAATTTAGCGCTCGCAAGGTTGTGACAACCGTAATGACACTGTAATTATGCTCTCACACACCTCTCGATGAATGATAAAAACGCGGCGTTCGAGGTAAAATAGTCTTGTCCTCGGGCCAGATGGCATGCAGCGATGATATCTGGCTTGCAGTCAAGGTGGACAGCAGACGAGCCAGTACTCTGACAAGCCAATAGATTCCATACTCACCGTTGCCCCCATCCTTTCCACCTCTATGGCCAATCATCAAAGATAATCTTTTGAATTAAGAGAAAAAATCCAGGGTGAACACTTTGATGAGATAAGTACCCTTTGTCAGTGCAGGCAATGGTATTTTAATTAAATATATGAACACATGGTCCTGCCCCAGATGCTCAAGTCTAAACAAAGATAGCATCATCTAATCAAAGCCAGGCCCAGAGTGTTTCAAGGGCAGAATTATTTTCTATTAGGGCCCCTCTCCTCGGGGATTGAGCCAATTTTCTTTATTATGATAGAATCAGCATATTGTAGATCGACTTCGGCGATAGTGTCACGGCAGGGTGGGTGTGCCGGTCCCAGATGCGCCACCGGCATGTCAAATCCTTCAAACATATACAAGAGGTGTCTTTTATTTTCTTTACATGTTCAAACTCTGCTTGTTTTCCTTTTTGATAACATGTAAAGTTGAAAGTAAAAGAAGAAAGTGTGTGCTTTTTCTTGATGTCGGTTCACAAGATCCCCGTGTGTGGTCTAATGAGCGCACTGATCCATTAATCCCCTGACCTCGCTTGATTCTAATCAGTGTACCTTCAAAATATGCTATTGAGAACCAAGATAAGACTTCCCGCCGCTCTGCTAATTGCAGGGTAAAACCAAAAAATCAGCTCTACATGTAACCCCCGCTAAGATAATAAAAATATATTTGTCTGGATCCTCTGTGGATACTGTTGATTGGACGCTGCTGTGATGCAGCAATTTAATGAGATCTCCTAAAGGGATGCTCTCACTAATGTGTACACATCTGCTTTCATGGCAGGGGCCGGATATGGCTGGATGCTAATACCAATACTGGGGTTTTATGCTAGCTCGTAGCGGTACACACAGTTAGACGTAAGCGATGAAGTTGTTAAGTGCCGTGTTTTTCTAACAGGGTCACCGAGCAGCTGCCTGGTTGAGCCTTGGATTTCATAGAGATAGAGAGTTGCCCTCTGGGAACGGATGCTCACTTTATGTAGGATTATAGCTTTCATCGTGAAAGGTATCTTCCTCTCATATCAAAGAAATGATTGTTTGGAAATTGAACCGCATTTTATTGAGTTGGCAGGATGCAAACAGGGTTCAGTTTTCACTTGCATCTCAGGAGTAGACAGTTTGCACGCCACATATTAAAAGAGTGTATCTGAGAGTAGTCTGATGATTTGTGAGATGATTAAATGGTTGGATTTCAGGCTTTTAACCGAGACATCTTAATCACTAATTGCCTGACTCGTTCTGAGTTGGCTTAATTTCAATCCACGGTTTTCTAAGACAAAACACAGAGTCAAGTGTTACGAATTCTGTGCTGCTTTATTCAGTCTAATTTCATTATCGAGAATTGTTGTGATCTTCTCAGCTAAATTGTGCTCTCTGTGATCAAATATTTGATATTCACTTGTTAAATCAAACCGTTCTGGTCCATTCAGTGATAACAATCGACTATTTTTTTAGCAGATTTGGTGCACGATATTCCAGAAAAAGAAAGAGAAGGAGAGACCCCTGTTAAAATACATATAGGTATACATACAGGGCTAAGCCAAGCTGTCTGAATATTACACTATATATTAAATTTTCTGCTAAAATGCATGTTCTACCATATTTTGTTTTACAAATGATGCAGAAAACATGTTTTTCATGTTTTTTTAAACCTTTATTTCCATCTGTAAAGCCAGTAGAGTGATGTTCATACCTCCTATCAATTAGTGTGGTTTAAATTTCACTCGACACTGTGTACGAAACTACTTGTGTGAGATTGTAATGCCAATTAAAACAGCGCTTGGATGTTGGGATAAACTTGTGCAAGCTGCGCGTTAGCTGACAGCTTTCAGATACTCCTGATTTTTTTTGATTCGTACATGTGATTGATGTTTCACTGTGCTGTAGAGAATGTACGTCGGGATGTAAAATCCCATTTCCCTCCATGTATTTCAGGGTAAAGTATTATCTCATACTGTGAATGATAAGGCTAGTCTTCAGTGGTGCAACAGATTAGAAATCTCAAGGTTTAGATCAGACTTTTGGATTCAATAGGAAGCATGTGTTTGGGTCTCTAACTCCTGTTTTTGGACTGGAAACATTGCTGGTTATAACAGAGCATGTGGCCAAGATCACTACAGTAGGTTGTTATGTAACTAACATGAAGTTTATGATTGTTGCCACTTTGAACCAACAGCTGATACCTGTATTTTAAACTGCAGTCATAGCACAAGAAAACAGAGAAAATTAGGCATTGCTTAAAGTAACTAGAAGTTTAGATGCTTTATTACCAATTTTAATGAAATGTAAAAAAAAATTAAAAAAAGGATTTAGTAAACACACACGTAATGAATGTAAGATCCATAATAGTGTTTAAATTGTGTTAATGAATTTTACACTGCTAGAGGGCAGAGCTGATGGCAGCCTCCAGCTGAAAGATAAACACTTCCTTGTCAGTGAAAATGATGTTTCAGGGTTCTTGTTGGTTAAAACGAACAGGTGTTTTTTTTTTTGGTGTGTGTGTGTGCTGAAGAGGGGACCTCAGCAGGGGTTTCATCTCAAAGCAAAAGACTTTAATGAACATTTAAGGGTCAAGTTGATAATGGGTTTGTGAAGTTTGCACCCTGCTATTTCATTTATGCATAGCTCTGTGTGGAAGAAATCAGCAAAAATGAAACAGAAAAAAAGTGCAGAATATTCTCCTTAGAAATATGAGCAGCCCCGGAGTTTTCTTGCTGTTTTTTTTAATTCAAGGACTTCTAGGGGGCAGCCCGAGTATTAACCCTGTTTAAGAAAAGTCAGTATTTCTCTAATGAAATCCTGCTAGCTATTAACATTTACTTATTATTTCTATGATGCATTCGTACGAGTCCGTCATGCTCTACGTGTTTCTTTTCAGGTTTGGTTTTGGAGTCAGTAATGAAATCGAACATCCCTGTTTGAGATGCTGATACAGTGTGCAGCTTTCAGTGCAAGCCAACAGAGAAAATTCACCCGTAAATATTCAGGGTAAAATTAGCCTTCTTTGTGTCACATGTACCATTATTTCCTGCTGCCATCGTGGGATCCCAATTCCTTTGTATGTTATTGACTTCAGTAACCAAGTTGATCTGAATGTAGGTTTTGGAGATTTAAAGTTACTCTGTCACTTAAGCAGCAAAAAATTAAAATAAATAAATAAAAGAAATGATTTTCTTATATTATCAGAATAATGCCGGCACAGTTAGTACAGGTTGAATACAGTCAAACGTAGGCGTTTTTGTTAATTTTATTTAAGTAGTTTTGTCAAAACTCATCAAATTGATTGTTCAGGACAAAACTGTGGAAAACTGAAGCACCACAAAAGCATGTTTTTTGATGCTTCTGTGTTCTTTTCCCCTTTCGGAATAAATTGTTTGCTTTCTTATTTAAACAAAGCAAACAATTAATTTTGAATCAACAATCCAATTAACCTGGACTGTGACTGTAACGCAACTGTACTAATTATATACAAATCACTTCATAATGAGCTCTACATATTGTCCTCCCTCACCATTGTTTTCCCATGTTTGAAAAAAGCCCATGAATGTTTAATTAGCGTCTCACAGTCAGTTCCATGTAATTTCAAACCTCGCCTAAATAAAGGAAACATTTGCGATATAAGAGGTCAATCTAAAAAGTATCTACAAAGTAAAGATAACATTTCTAGAACCTGTGCTGAACCAAGTAACAGCAAAGTCTGGTCTTTGTCAATTTTTTGCAATTTTTAATCTATTTTTTTTTTTTCATATTTTGTTAACTACTGATGGGAGAAGACTTTATAGAAGAGAAGAGCACTTTTCATTGAGACGGAGTAAATCTGGACGACAACACCCAACTCCAGCAGACATTTGGGGTTGTTTTTTCGTGGTTGCTGTGCTGGTGTAAAGGTGAAGGCAAAGTTGAAGGCTGGGAAATGGAGATATAAGCCCTTTCTTCCATCAGTCGTCATGGGAAACTTCAATTCTCTGCCCAACAAAAACGATGAGCTGGAGAGATCGGTGAAGACTGAGAAAGCACACTGTGAGTGCAGTCTCCTGTGTTTTACTGAAACCTGGTTGAACCAAAACAACTCCGACTCCAGTGTGGATCTACCTTGCTTCACTCTCATAAGGTCAGCCAGAGATGCCAAAGCTAGGAGGGAGTCTGGCTTTACTTGCTTACCAGAGATGGTGTAACTCTTGACTCATCACTGTCAAGGAAAAGGATGTGTTGTCCAGATATTGAACCGTTGGCAGTTGCCCTTCAGCCATATTATTGCTGCGTTCCTGTTGTACTTGGAAGTTAGGATTTCTGAGCTCCGAGTCGGAAATTCACCTGGAACGCCCCACTGAAGTTAGAAAGTCGGACGATCCTTGCCAACCCCGACTCGACGACAACGTCATAATTCAAGATGGCAACTCAGTGAATTAACAGTAATGGGTGACAGTGAAAGCTCTTGTAATGTATTATTTTTTAGCACTTCTGTTTTGTTTTTGTGAAATAAAATAAGTGATATGTGTTCTACTGCCCAACATCTAACTGTGAACACGGTGCTATGGTGTTTGTAGAGTGAAATACTGTGTTGTGCGTTGTTTACAATTGGTATAGCTAACAACAATTAACAACAGCTTACAATGGCTAACAACAGCTGACAATTGTACACAACCGCTAACAACGGCTAACAGTAGGCGTCCATCTTGGCTTTCTGACTTGTTAACCGGAACGCCGTCAACGTCATTCCCTGCTCCGACATCCAACTTCCGAGGTAACTGGAATGCAGCATATCTTCCAAGAGAGTTCAATCATATCATATCATAGAAATACTTGAAAACATCCCACCTAAAGCAACGGCTGAAGTTCCGTGTTATGTTCTCCACAACACTGTTGCTAGGATACAGACGCAACATCCTGAGGAATGTCATAATATCAGGAGACTTCAAGCATGTCACCCTCTCCTCTCAACCTGACTGGATTCGACAGGTGGAGAAAGATGAACACTGAGGAAGGTAGAGGCCATTCTAACAATGTATGTAATGACTTGAAACTTGGCCCAGTGATCCTCTTTGACTCTAGAATAATCAATCAATCAAAAGAGTGTGATGACAAAAGGTCAGTGGTTTATGATGCCAGATTGTCAAAAAGTTCCAAAAGCAATGTGATCGGGGGATTTCTGTTTTGACAGAACAAAGAGACCAGCAGTTTATCACTCATACTCTGGAGCATGCTTTTATTTATCTCACATAGACCATGTAAAAACTGACGGATTGATCCTTACTTTTATCATCTTGACAGGTCTACACCACCCAGCTCCCACGATGGCCGAACGGAGGTACCAAATTGACACCTACACTTGTCCCTTACATTATTACTGAGCACATTTCATGACATTTTAAAGTGCTTTGAATTATTAAATGTGTTTCCCTCACCTTCGGGGCATCATTGATTTCCATTCATTTCTGTTTCCGAGGAAAATCAACTCGAGACCTGATTGACTTGCTTGCCCGCTGGCAATCCATCACAACGGTAAAAATAGAAATCTTTTTCAATGTCCTTGAATTTGCATCAGCACCTTTATGCAGCGTTACAATGACGTAAACACGAGAGGGACGTAATTGACATTGTGGCTGGTCAAAGCCGAGTGTCAACACAGTAGATTGATTTCTCTTTAAGTACTTGAAATCAGCTATGACCAGGAATTTGTGTCATAGGTACGGCTATGTTTTTCATTATATTTTATTGACGATAAATGCGGGGAATAAAGAGAAAGAGGACATTTTCCAACAGACGCAGATAAAGCAAGTGCAGTTGCCGCTCATTACAGGGAAGATATCAAGCTGTGAGTCATATCTTTCCATCTTGCTTGGAAGTAAATGCATTTATAGATCCTCGGTGGCAGAACCAAATGGCAGTAGGTCTGATAAAGTCATTTTTTACACGACAAAGGGCAGCGCACACAATTGGTTTATCTAAAATCCGTGGGACTTTGCTTTTGTATCAAAATGTCATGGGACCAGGAGTCAATAACTCAGATTTAATGACCGAGGGAGAAGTTGTGGTTTCCTTTAATGAAGCAAGAAAACAGTTTATCTGGCTAGATTGACCTTAGGCAATTACTTTGAGCGCATTCCTCAATCAATAAAGCGCCAGTTCTGGTTCTTTTTTGTTGTGTGTGTGTACGTCAAAGTGTGTGTGTGTGTGTGTGTGCAACATGGGTGGCTGTGATCTCTCCAGCTTCTTTTAGTTTGATAAAACTCAATAGATAGACTAGTGTCAGATTTGTTGCTTTTACGTCTGTTTTATTTGGTTAGTTTGCCCATGCACACTTCTACCATCACCTGAATGGATAAAAGGGGTCCACCGACAGGGTTTTTCCTAGCCTCTAGTCACTAAACATGTTTCTTGTAAGTGTTCTGTAAAACCACTCTGTCAGCTCTGAGCAGCACCTGTCAAACTAAATGCCCACTGGCTGTTTTAAGAGAGTCCAGATACAAGTCCCCCCCACCCCTTACAAACAAGCTTTGTGCTGCTGTGGGCCTAGCTGTGGCACAGGGGTAAAATAAGAAATCACATTGCAGATGAATATCAGCACAATGCCCCTGTCTTCTGTACGCCTGGGTGACCTTGCAAGATCTAAATTTCAGATAAAGTGTGGAGAGGATGCTCCAAATTAAAGCTCTGCACAGGAAATTGAACTGTCAGACAGATGGAGAGGTAGGAAAAGCCTTTTTGTAATGTAGTTGATTTTTATTCAGAGGGCCTGCTTTTGCAAATGTCACACTTAATGGCGGTTATTCTGGATGAAATACTGTATTTGGAAGCGAGACTATACATTTCTGTACCTGGAGTGCTGCTTTCTAGATGATTGGTTGTTTTGGGGGCTGCAGATGTATGCTGTTTTTATTGTTAATAAGATATTTGCATGACAAAGATGAGTCAAAACCAGACTGGCATGAACAGGGATTTGAAGATGATGAAGAGTATGGGTTAAAGATGCTTTAAACTGCAGAGAAACTGGAACAGGGTAAAAAAAGATGTCTTGATTGCTTGGTATTGTCTTCATGCCAGGTAGGAATAGGCTCCACAACCCCTGTGTTGATGCCCCCTATCCTTAATCTACAGAGGTCAGTATAGATTCCATAATGCAGTCTTGTAAAAAAGTGTGAGATTCCCATTCAAGGTGAAGCGGATTATTCTAAAACAATGTATCACATGCAATTATTAAATGATCCTTAAGTATTGATCCAGTGGCTGAACTTGGGCTCTTAAAGATGGAGGAATCTTGCTGATGTAGTGCTAATTTTGCCTCACACTGCACTATTTACCAGCATTTCTCAGCATGGGGTCCTGTGTATTTGTACCTTCAGTTTGGGCATTGCAATGAGCAAGCATTTCCTCGTCCTCAGCCCCCCTGTTTCACACTAACAGCTTTCCCGTGTTTTGTGGTCTGCTAGCTCGTCAGGTCACACCCATCTTGTTCGACAGTGCCAGTAAAGTATGTTTCGAAACCGAGCGAGCACACCGGCAGTGACAGCTTTCACGCTGTGTTTGTAATTTTCACACATTGAAATCAAAAGCTCGAGCCACTTGTCAGGCCGGGAATGGCTGATTCAGATAAACAGCGGGTTGCTACAGAAGTCCTCTCATCCCAGGTGAAGTGTATTGATAATGGGAATGGCTGCTTATTGCTTACCAGACAACTTGGAAATGACGTGATTCTCTAACTGTGACTCAGGGACTCGTGTTTGTGACTGTTCTTGATGATTTCATCCACACAGCGATTTTTAAGGATCCTTGTCTGTCCTGTTTCTTTTTTTTTTGCATTACTATAGTCTATAATACACTATCACCAAATCATAAAGGCATATGAAATAGGGCTGAGAGATAAACTGAAAATGAAATTTACGGCAATAACCAACGTTATTTTGCCCATATTGGTATATTCGGTGTCAAAAAAATGAATAACTAAAAATTGGTTTTGAATGTGTGTAGGTAGGCTATGGTCTCATGTCCCTTTAAGACGCTGTCCTATGTCAGAGATGTGACTCCACCCTATCCAGTCCGTAACAAAGAGAAAAAGACAGGTGAGGAGATGGAGGACAGTTCAAAAGTTGTAGTGGCTGGAGCGGCAGCTGAAGTAGACGAAGTTGATGTGGGAGGGGGTAAGCAGCTTGTGGAGTAGTTATCGTCCATCTATTGTTATCGAGGTGAACTGCTCAATATATATCGTGATATTGATTTGAGGCCATATCCCTCAGCCCTAATATGAAAGATAAAATACATCATACAATTGTCTCTATGTGTGCGTTTCGGTTTGGTAAGAATAGCAAGCCATGTGTTGAAATCAGCTGGTTCGGCTACCAAAATAGAAGGGGTGGGAGAAAAGATCGATACAGCATAGTATTGCAATATTTTGTTTTGAATTTTCAAATTTATTGCTAATAAGAAGTCCAATCAATGATAATGGAAAAATTAAATCAACTGTTTGTCCTGTAAAGTTGACAAAAGTGACATCAGAGAGCAGAAGAAAGTTGGTATAACAAGTGTAAGGTTTGCAAGATATGTTACATGAACATAAAATACTGTGTAAATAAATAAGACTAGCATAAATGAAAACCAAATGCTAAATTAGCAAAACAGTTGAAAAAAATATTGTAAACCACTATACTGTCTCCCATTACTCACTGCATTGCAAAATGTTAAAAATTGCAGCAATGTTGTATCGTGAACCAACTATCGTGATGATATCATATTGTGGCCCTAGTATCGTGATGATATCTCATCACGGCCCAGGTATCGTGATAATATCGTATCACGGCACAAGAATCGCGATAGTATTGCATCTTGGCTCAAGAATCATAATAAAATCATATTGTGGCCCAAGAATCGTGATAATATTGTATTGTGATAATATTGAATCGTGATAATATCGAATTGTGATAATATCGTATCGTGATAATATTGTATCATGATAATATTGTATTGTGATAATATCATATTGTGATAATATTGTATCGTGATAATATTGTATGATGATAATATTGTATTGTGATAATATCATATTGTGATAATATTGTATCGTGATAATATTGTATCGTGGGGCCACTAGTGATTCCCACCCCTATAAAATAGAGATCTGATCTGTTCAAAGGCTGATCAGGGAAATGACTCTTAGACAGAGATGAATGAAAGCGATGCAGCTCTTATTGATGACTTGTGTTTTGGCCAAGTAACAGAAAAGTATTGGTAGTGGAATCAATAAAGGCCTAAAATGTTGAGAGGGTTCAATGCTCATATCAATATCTGTACAAATTAACACTCCACATTCTTGGCCTGATCTAGTCTTGGTCCTGTTCGGTCAATAGTAGAAAACATGACCCTGATGCTCCATAGACAACCTTCAGTGAGCCCTCACTTGCCCCTTGGCTGGCCGTTTTTAAATATTTCACAATGTGACTCAAAGTTCCTCTTGTGCTTTGGGGATCCACTCCTCTGAAGTCCCAGATTGAAAATTCTCTTTGAATGGGGGTTCTAGGACCGCCGATCATTTCCAATTCTTGCACGACATAAAACAGTGGCTTTCTCCAACTTTTCCTTAAACTAGGAAAAAGTTCTACTAGTTAGAAAGAGCTTCTGCAGCACTGTTGTTATGCACTCATTGTTACAAATAGCGCCACGCTACTGTGACACCAGTGCAGCGGCCGTGACCTTACATCGTCTCTTGAGATATGACTTTCAGTCAAAATAGCCTTTCTCCCATCTAACTTAAAGTAATGACTCCAGAGCTTACCAAGACCCATTTGAGTTCAATAGTGCAGCTATTCATTCATATCTGATCCTCCAGACAGTTGTGGTATTCTCTTCCCCCACAGGGACTAACCAAGACAAGTCCTAAGCCTTTGACAACACACCGTCTTTAGTAGATCACACGAGAGCGAACCGCATAGCCTTGTCTGAGGAGCAATTTAAGGCAACAAACGGCTGACTGGGTAGAAACTGTTCTTCACCCGCTCCAGGTACTGTTATACCGAGGTGGGAATTTCAGCTGAATATCTGGCACCCCATGCTGCTGTTGAGTGCTTTTGCAATGTTTTTGTTCCCATTTTCTCTTTCAGGATAGCTGTTTCTTTTTTTTTGATGTTCATGATCTGTTGTGGTCAAAATAAAAACATGAAAAAGGCAGGCTCGTATAAAGAATATCTAAATATAAACACGTCATAATTTATCTCTCAGGCAGGTTGTGTCCTCAGTGCCTCTTGGGGATAGATTGAATAAAAAAAATCTTCATAAGTGTCGTATACATCCCAGTCAGTCGCAGCCCTGGCAGTGTCCTTTGTATGAGTGATGACTGAAATTAGTATCTAACTAAATCTGCAATAAGCTCCTGTATTAAGATAGAGCTCCCCCAGGACAAATGATGTGCCTGCATTAAATTAAGTGAGCCTTCTGATGCCATCATATCACCCAGAGCATCTGTGTCTGTGTTTCCATAATTATGCATGTCCCACTAAGAGAGCTTTAAAAGCAATCTATGCCAATGCTTATTTAGTCTTCCTGCACAAATAGTGTCAATTAAGTGTGCCTCCCAACAGGCCACCTAGACTGTAAGTGGATTGATTAACTTGTACATTTGAATGCATTTTTTGATTGTTTGTCTGATGTAGTGGAAATGAAATTATAGGCTAATTCAGTCCTCTGACATTTCTGCTGGCAGATGGAAGCTTTCTAGAGGTTGCTTGTTTTCTTCTTCAATCCTGCCTTCTTTCAGTATCACCTTGACATTTGGAGTTGATCAGATAAGGCATTTCTCCCTTTTTTTAAGCCATAAAACCCCTTTAAAGTATATACTTCCATCTATGATATATGCTAATGCTTTTCAGCACTGGGCCTGTGGGCTCCCCAGCTTCTACATTTTGAAGTCCAAGATGAGTGAGGTAAAGTTGTGCTGATTTGAAGGAAAGTAGGCAGTCTAGGAGAACTTAACCTTTCAACTATCATGAGAAGTGAAAAATTATGTTACTCCACTGAAAATCCTTTACTCTCTATAAAACAGCACCATGTAGCTTGTCTTTGTTTCCTTTGTCAGATAATTTTGTTCAGAAAAAAACTCTGAATTAACTCCAGACAAAGGCTGAATTTACTCCTCTTGTTTGTCTGCGTTGCACAATGGGATATATTGCTAAGTTTTAGTGATTAGATTTTTCCTATTTGGGTCTCTTAGCTCAGCAAAGGTTGCTGAGACTATAGATTGTCATGTCCCCCACTAGCACCTATTAAAGTACAAGAAACCTGTTGTCACTTTCTCTTCCCACAATTTCTCTCTTGGTTTCTCCCTTCCTATCTCTCCTAATTTCTCTTCCCTCTATGTCTTGGTCACACTCCACTGCACCACTCTCAAACATTAGGAGCAATCCATTGTTATGCAGGGTGATTTGACACACGGCTGATACAAGCTGATACTTGCCCAACAGTAACTAAATTGTGTAAGTCTCGATGCTACCACTTTGAACTACCTATGGCTTGTTCAAGCTTTTCATATGCGATAGGAAACTTGACAATGTTGTGATGTAAACATAGTGTCACATATTGTCAAGTAATGTTGGTCCTGTAGGTAAAAGACTCTTTCAGTCATTCAGATTCAGATTCTTCAACAGTATTGACAATCCAGTTGATTTACATGTTGATTCCCAAAAACTAAATTGCCTTTGTGAGAATTGTTTCGTTTCGTTGTATAATTCACTTCAAGGTGTTATAGGGTATCCGTCTGAAATCCAATGATTTGAATGTAGGGCCTGAAAGGGATATTCCGGCGTGAAATGAAGTCAGGGTCAAACACACTGTAACACTGAGTTAGACACCCCCTCTCGAGAGATGAATGTCGCTGACCGCTTGCTTCTCTAGTTATACCAATTTTAGTAATGGCCGCATGATAGCAATACACAGCGGTCTGAGGAGCCGTAAACAAACCTCAACCAAAACGCCACTCTATAGCCACAAATAATGCTCAGAACAGCACCTTACTTCATCAACAGTACATTAAGGGTCCCAGCCATAACACTAGCCACCAAACATCTTATTAACTTTGTCTCATTTCTTCAGCAAAGAGACTAAACACAACTCACCTACTCTCTTCTAGCAGCCGCTTCTTTGTAGCGAGACCTCGGGCCAGTCCATTAGGGGACTGCTGCGGGGTGACACAGCTCAAGGAAGAACATTTATGCTGATTTCTTTATCATTTCCTTTAAGTAATAATCACCATATTAACCGTTTTGCACTGCAGACTCGGTAGTTCTTCTGCCTTGGCGTCTTGGTCTGATTGCATTTCTATGCATCTCTCGAGGGGGTGTCTAACTCAATGTTACGGTGTGTTTGACCTTTAATGAATTTTACGACGAAATATCCCTTTAAATGTCTAAAATTCTCTTCAAATCTCTTGAAATGTCTTATATATGATTTTGAAAGGTTGCTTACAAATAAATAACATGCCATAGGAATAAAGATATAAAGTAATGTAAAATATTCCGATTTTCCTTCATGTCTTTTGTACTTTTTTGCCAGTATGGAGGTTAAATTGCTGCTGCATTCATTATGGTCTAAAAAAACAGTCTTAAATTTGACTTTGTGAAAACTGCAGAGACCCCGTGTTCATTGCATGTAAGGGTTAAGGTCACCTACAGTAGTACAGGAAAGGAAAATTAGCCAAAATTACAGGAAGAATCCTTTAATTTTAACTTCTCATCTCCAAAAGTTCCTAAAACAAAAAACATGCTCTTGAAACATTAATATTATTTTAACAGAGCTTACAATAAGGGGATAAAACTTTGTGACCACATGGGAAAAACACTCAGTCTTACTTTTTTGGGCTCTGGGCCATAAGGTCAAAGTTATTGTTGAATGCTCACAGGTGATTTGAACCACCGCATGTTGCTGCTTTCAGCTTGTTTATCTCAGAATGACTTGACATTTCACAACTTTTACCATTTTTCTTATAAAAGTTTCAAGTGAAGGTGTCTGTTATCCAATTCCACATTATAAATAATTCATCGCAGCGGTTTTCTGGGTAATTTATCCGTGAGTTCAGGGTGGCACTGCGCAGACATTAAAAGGCAAGCATCCAGCTATAATAAGTACAACTTCATTGGATTCTAATTTGTCATTCTTCCACCAAACGCGACCATTAGAGCGAATGGATGGCTATTTAATTGTCTTGCTGTGGCTATACTTCAGCGCTTTCAATGACAGCGGTGTCTAAAGCCCCGCTGAGTAACCTCCTCTGCTTTATTTTGATGTGAGATCCACATTAAATTTCTCACTTCTTTTTTTTTTCCGCCTCTGTCTTCCTTCTTTCTTGCTCTCTCAGGATTATACAAAGGTATGAATCGCATGTAAGGATTAATCATCTCCTTCAGGGACACTTCTCTTTGGCCGGCTCAAAGGATTTCAGGTGCTGAGCAGTGCTTATATAGAGAAGAAGCTTTCTCTTAAGTGTGTTATTGATAGTCAGAAAGCTGTTGTTAAAGTGAATAGAGATGTGAAAAGCGCGGTAATCTACATAGTTTACAGCTGTTTCCATTTGTGCCGAGTGATCTTTCAACATTCAGTTATATATTTTATATTTATTTAGTCATACGGCTAATGCGTCATCTAAATGCAATATCATGTCTCCATGGTGTCTGCAAGGAACAATGGATGCAATCATAAGCCAGCATGATATTAATTATTAAAACTCCATCTTCTGTATTAGCCTAATAGTTCTCGTTCAGACCCCGGCACTCTCGTACGCATGAAGCCAATGAACAGTTCATCAAACTGACCGATCCGGAAAAGGAAACGGCGTTTAGCAGCGTGATTAATGGGGTCAATATGCTGCTAACGGGGGACACTAAAACATGTCATTTTAATCATGGCAATGCTTGTGGGGGAGATGGGAGCAAATTATTTCATTACCATTTCCGAGCATCTCGCCGCAGCCCTCCATCCCTGCAGCTCTACTTACGCTTGTGTGCTCGGGACAAAGAGTGTCTGTCATTTCACATGGCTGTTCCCCCCAGTGAGTAGAGAGGCATAATGGCAGAGAGTGTGCGGTGTTTCACTCTGGAAACAGCACACCATCAGTGTCAGAGCTTGTGAACTTAGCATTTTTTTATGTGCTGTCATGTTTTGTCGAGGGGTTTAGGGACATAGCTTTGGTTTTTCTGTCTTTTGTACGTGTTGACACAAGTTTCCTGCACAGGGCCCTGATTAGTCAGGGAGTCCATGCCTAATATAACCGCATTGGAAAAATGTTTTTCTTCACAGGCCGCCTGGCAGAAATGGCAGCTCGTCCAGGCTCTGGTGTGTTTGTCACAAGTAATTAATTTTTCTCCTATAAAAACGCCCACCGGGATGATGGAAAAGGTGGGTTCATTAACCTTCCTCACCCGAGCTTCCTGTGGCACTTTACAATGCGTTGGGTTGATGGTTCTTCCAATCGCCCGTGGCAGAAAATGTGCAGGAATGAAACACTTTTTTTACTCCAAGATGGCTGTTTTTGCTGGGGGAATAAAAAGGATTTGCTTGGCAGCTCGGTCCAGAAATTTTTAAACGCTTTCTACAACATTTTAACACGTCTAGGTTTTACTTCCTTCCTTCCCAAGACACATAAGACGACATTTTGAAACCCCTCTCTCAGCACTCTTCCTCCTATTCCCCCCTCCTTTCTTTTTCACTCACTGGCATCAGTTTTTCTCCCCTCCCCAGTGCTTGGGTCGGATTCTGAATCGCTTTTTTCACAGTTTATTTCAAAATGACATTTCATGGAGTTTAATCTCTAGGGGGGAACAATGGGTACATTCCATCACACAGAGTGATATGAAAAGCCCCAGACCCTGTGAATGGGAAGTGAGAGACAGAATAAAATAAATAAAAGAGTATCTCCGAGTGACCCAGAATACTGATGACAGGAACCACAGTGGCAGGCAACTTTAGCACTGTAGCTCCACACACACTCTCTTCTTTCTGCGACTCTCCATCTCCTCTCTCACTTCCCCCCTCTTGATTGTCAGTCAAAGCACTCGCAGCCTACACACTTGAATGAGCTGAAATATTCACAGATATTATCCACTAGACTGAATTGAGCTTGTTAGGAGGGGAGGGAGAGGCATCTGTGGGCCCTCCCATAGTGCCGGCATGTATAGATCAATGCCGGCGGGGGATCTTGACAGCTCAACTCGCTTTTAGGGGAAGGAAATTGACTTGATCTCGCCCTGGCAGCTAATGCGGTGATGAGTTGCAACAAGTGTGTCTTCATGTAGACACCTGATCTATTATACTCCTTTATTTATTCACATTACAAACCATTTCTATGTGGCGTTTTCCTTGTGATTGTTTGAATTGCTCACATTTAGGAGTTTAACACAACTGTTGGCTTAAGGCAGTATATTCCCACAAATGTGAGCGCTAGAATGATAATAGATATTCCGGTTAATTTTTTTTTTTACCACATCCAGGAGCTGGATTCAATATAATTAAGCCAGCATGGGGTGTAGCTGTTAAAATAGATTGCTTGGCCACCTCTGAAGCTGCAGGTCTTGAGGTAATAAAACTGATGGCTTTAGAGCTTCATGCTTAATTTGCTCTTGATTTGTTTCATCTATTGGAATGACTGAGGAGCTCTGTATGAACGCGTAATTGTGAATGAGGCAGCATCACATTTCTGGTGCGACAGTTAGCAGATGACCTTATTTGAATACACTATCTTCCTTTGTTTAATTTGTAAGTTTATGGCGTAGTGTTACAAGGGTGCATCTTTTTATATATTTGTCCTGTATAAATGCAAATCTTTATTTCTGCACGTCCTTCTGCAGAAACCTTCCTAACAAGGCTCCACCTGATGGCACACTAACAGAAGCAGAAGGCTTGTTCTTGGCTCCCAGACTTAGAAATGCGTATTTGAAGGTGCTGTATTAAGTCCCAGCATCCTTCCTGCTGCTCCAGCTTGGCGCCACTTACAGTCATTTATCTTCACAGTCATCACCTGCATCATTCACAGTCATCCCACCGCCCCCAATCCTCAAGGGTGTTGAGGGAGACTCGCAAAGATATTCCGGACGCACCATGAGTGGCACCATTATCTCAGCCCAGTAATGGATTACCTCGATGGTCAGCCTGTCATGGTCAATGTTTGCCCTGACATTTCATGTAAAGTTCCCTTCCCCCGATGAAATATCATATTGTGGTGGCCAGGCGGTGGTTGTTCTGCCAAATTGGTTGTCACAGTGCTGGCAGTGTGATACCCTCTGTGTCCCTTTCTTACTCTTTTTGCCTGTTGGTCTTTTTTATCTGGCTGGTTTGTACTCAGGAGCTACATTTTTTTTTCTTTTTGCTCTTTTGAAGCTGAAAGGATGATAGTATAGGAACCAGTGTAAGGAAAAATGGAAGGTATGTCTGACAAAAACACTTGAGGAGCAGAACCTGGCTCTTCACATTGTGGTCTGAGGCTGGCACAAAAAATCTCTATATATTTTATATATATGTACTATATATATTTAACAGTTCATATATTGTAATTCTGTCTGGTTAGAAGGGAAGGGCAATCATGATTAGTTTTGCCATCCTGGCAATAACAATAAAAGTCCTGATAAAAAATATTATAATTCCAAATTATATTTTTGACTCGTTTTGTCTTGAGCGCACCAGTTGGAGTAGTCAAATAAGATACTTAAAGGAATATTCTGGTGTAAAGTTAATTTAGGGTCAAACACACTGTAACACTGAGTTAGACGCCCCATCGAGAGATGAATGTTGCAGACCGCTTGCTTCTCTAGTTATACCAACCCAAGTAACGACAGCAGGATAGCGATACACAGCGGTCTGAGGAGCCATAAACAAACCTCAACCAAAACGCCACTCTATAGCCACAAATAATGTTCAGAAATGTCTTCTTCATCACCTTCAGCCATGTTTGTTTGTTATTCTGCTCTGTGTGGGCTATGGCTGCGAGTCCGTTGCTCGCGCTTACGTCATCAACTTGCATTTATCATTAATTTTTTATGAGATGGCAAATATTTATCATGGAGGATTTTTCTGACGATATATCGTGAACAATATCACAATAAATATATAACAATAAATATAACAATTTATCGCCCATCCCTACTGGTTCAGGCTACTTTGCATCTTGATTGGAGATGTACACAATTAGTCAACTAAAGGAGGACAATCAAGCACATAATAGTAGGAAACCAATTAAGCTAATGCGCAATTTACTCAACAGAGCTTAACACTGTCTACACGCATATTTTACTTTAGCTTGTTTTTGAAACACAGGTAAAACATGGCACGTTCTCATGTTCTCACTTCATAAAGCAAACACAAAGTTACTCTTGATCAGCTTGTCAGTATCTTTCACATTAATTCCCTTCCTTCCTCTGGTACTAGAGTAACCATTTTACTGCCTTTCTCTGACAGAAGTTTCAAGTTTTTTTTTTTTTTTAATTAATTTTTTAAATGAATAGAGAGAGTTTTTTTTTTCTGCTGCTGCTCAGGTCCTACTCTTCTCTCTGTGCTGCTATGCTGAGGTAACCTCTTTTTTCAGCACAGTTTAAGATTTCATTCTTTGAGCAAACCTCCTGTTTACCCTTTTTTTATTTCTGCCTATAGACAGCATCATCTCCCATAAAGCCGTTGTGCTGCTCATACTTGGGAAAAACCACCACAGGCAAAATGAGTCTGACATTGGCCCACAGTACAGGCAATGGAGGGTGACATATCCAATATCCAGAGAGTGGCAGGGCTAAATATTTTTGTCAGGCCAGCGGCTTTACAGTGAAGAGATGTGGATGAAGGGTTCATTTGGGTCTGGATTTGAACATGGCATTTGAGAAAGTCTGACTCCTGGTGAATGCTTCTGTTTGGTTTAACCTTGTTCTGTGCAATCACAAAGCACAAGAGGACAAATGTGGAAAAAAAATAAATAACCCACGGAGAGTGTTGATTACTTTTTCCAAAGTTTATGAAGTGGGTTTGTAATTTAAAAGGAAACTTCAATCAGTTTGACATCTTTTAGTATTGATTGACTATCAGCAGGGATGTTTCAGAGTAGCATAATGACTCATGCCATGTAGAGTATTCAGCCAAAACATGGTACAAAAAAATAACCAATTTAAAAGACAGTTCAAAACATGCTTTCGGACATGGAGCATATTTAGTAAGGCTGCTCTGGTTCAGTTGACACTTCAAAAATTAAAAATGTTTTTGCCCCCCAAATGTTTGATCTCAGCTGGATTTCCGTTTTGGCATCTGAACTGGTAGCCGATTAGAACCAGAAGTGGAGGATCTGAACTGGAATGAGAGTCAATAAAAAATGCAAAAATGTCGAAAGTTTGCCAAGTTTTAAAGGCCTGCTGATGGAAAAAGATGACCACACTGCGACGTCTTTTTTGAACAACAACTTAGAGTACACTCTAAAGGTCCTTACACCCCGGGAACGACGCAAATATACGACGCAAAATTACAAAATATTCGGAGGCGAATTTTGACGTGCCCGATAAAGCACATCAATTGCAATGCGATTTTGTAACTTTCCGGGGGAAAAAAAGACGCGTCCCAGGTGGAAGCGAGAAGACTGACACAACACCAGACTGACTGTTTTTCAGTTCTGATTAGACACTAGTGTTGAGATGACTGTCTGTCATGATAGCATGTACTGAGTCAGGGCCAGATAAACACATTAAACTATAATCCATAAACGTAAGGTAACAACAGAGACCTAATGGTGCTGTGACAGCAACGTGATTGAGTTTGAAACAGTGAAAATACATATGGTATGTTGTATCTGAACAGGTTAACTTACGAGCTAAAGTTACTTAGCACAGATGAAAGTTAAAATACAGACGTGTAGCAAACTGTTAAAGCACACAAACTATCATCGTATGAGAGATCAGATCCGGTGAATCTGACGTCGCAACAACACAGAATCTGATTGGTCAGAAGTTGACAGACATTATGCGAAACTTTAGAAAATTCGACCGTGATACGAAAAAATAAATGCTGCGATATAGCAGGACGGGACCACGTCGCTTATGTGAACGCTTGTATTGACAGGGTATAGTTCTAAAAATGACACATAGGTTTGGATATATGCAAATATCTATATTTGGACCTCATCCAAAATGCTCCCCCTACACACACACACACACACACACACACACACACACACACACACACACACACACACACCTACACCTCTAACTCGCGCAAGCAATTAAAGGTCGTGACTCTTGTCCTCATATAGACAGGCTTCATTCAGTAATTGAAGCCATGATGATATGCTAATTCTAGCTTACACAGCTTCCATGTAACTTAATCTCGCTCAGCATTTTTCCGTCTACCGTGTCTGCCCAAAATCCGAAGACTTTCCAAACGCAGCCTCTAAAGTTCGTTGGAGTCTAGACCACTCTCTCAGAGTATGGCTCTGAACATCCCTCCATCTCTCCCTGCATGTGCCACAGACGTTTTTTGTTGTCAAGCCTCACTGCAGGTGCAGCTCCTGTGACCTGTCCCTGACTCGCAAAGCAGCCACAGTTTTTTTTTTTTTTTTGTCTTTTTCCCATCACTTGCTTTTTTTTTACTGCTGTTTATTTAACATTTGAATATTAATTTTCTCATTCAAATCTCTCTTTTTTTATATATTTGGATATATATTCAAATTTAGAATATTCGTTGACAGCCCTGGTAGTCTCTGAACTTTGTATGAAGAACAGTCCATATCCTGTGGGAAATTGGACAGCATCATTACTCATTATTAGAAACCCATTTTCTTGCCAGGACTACACTGCCAGAGGAGGCTTATTAACAGGATGGAATCCCTACAGGATTTGGTGAGTCATGTGAATTTAGCATTCATGGTAATAGCCTAATGATTTGTTGAATATCAAGTTGTCTTGGTCAGCATCAGTCCACACCTGCTCTATCAATTCAACCAGGGCTTGTAACATAGTGGTTTTAGCCCGCTCAGGCCGCCTGCTCTTACACTGAGCCACGGGTCAGTGTCCTGCTGGGATAACAGCCTGGGGAGTGTGTCACAGTGCAGGAAATAACCTGGGCAAATCGATGGACTGTTTTTTGAAATGCCAATCAGACTTTGAACAGAGAGCAATTTGGATCAGCCTCAGCTGTCTGCACTCGGAGGTGTGCATCCAAGGTCAAAGCTTTTAGACATCCATTGTCACCCGCAGCCTTCCAGCTCGAGAGTTTAGATAAAAATATGTCAAGAAGCAAACCTTGTAAGAGTGTCTAATGGAAGGAAAAAGTTACGACTTTGACCCTTTGCTCTATATTTTTCTGAGAGTTTACTTGTCTGTCAACACCTCTTTTATACGTTTGCATTAGAAGATACAATCTCATGAATAGAAGGGTGCAGATCTATTAAAAAAAAAAAAAAAATGAGTGCTCAAATCTGATCTTGAGACATAGTAAGATTTTTTTCCTCCCTAGATGTTGCAATGCTTATCTCTTCTTTTGCTGGTGCAGTACAGTCAGAGCTGTGGTGCATTGCAGATGTGCCATATATTTACAAGACAGGGATGACTTATCTTAACATTTAAAGTTGCCAGTACACTGTGAGCAAAGTACAGTCCTGTAAAGTGTAGGGAAAACGCCTTGCATGCAGATGCTGCTCCAAACGGTGTCCTCAAGGGCCGCTCTTTATTAAGAAACTGATGCAGCGCGTGCGAACGTCCTGCAGCTAGTTTATCCACCTTGTATCGACTCTTCCCCCTCATGCAGTGAGGTGAATCACACCAGCTTCTTGTTTTCAAATAAAGCATGAAAAGATACAAGTCAATTTCCTGTATTCACTGCTCCTGCTCAAGGCTGTAACATCACACTGAGATCAATTTGTAACATTTGTGTTTGTGTTAGCCTGGCCATATTGTATAATGAGCAGGTTGGAGTATGCAGCGGATGTGTCACATTTCTAAGAGCTTATTTGCAGTCCTGCTTCTCTGAGTCGCCTCTTTTTCACACGTGTGGCACCTGAAAAAACGCAGGTTCACAGATCCCAGTAAGACAGAATTTTCTGGCAATCACACATCCAGCTCCCGTACGGAAAAAATCCTGTCTATTCACACCTGAAATCACATGTTTGGTGAAGATAAGTCGTTTTTCTACCCACCCAAACATCAGCAACTGCTCAAAAGAATTACTTCAAGTTGACAGCTTTTGCCACAAAAGATAAAGCTGGATTTTTGCCATACAGTTCTGGCTGTATAAAGGCGGATTTTTGAACATTAAATTGCTGGTGCACAAATAGCTATTCTCAGGGTTTGAACATAGATTTTAAGCACTGAGAGGGAGAAGCTTGTGCAAACATCAGCTCCCCGTACACTATTAAAACACTCCAAACTTTTTTTTCCATTTCACAGCATCAAATAAGGTAAGATGACATTTTACCTCTGAGCTAATAATCTGATTATACTCAACATTAAATTTTAAAAGTCAAAAAAATGTTATTGGTCAATTTGTTCCTATCGTCTTTTATGCAAAAACACTTTTTTTTCGTGTTTATCCTTTAGACCAGTGGTTCTCAAGTCCAGTTCTGTCCTGCATGTTTTGGATGTTTCCCTGCTCCAACACACCTGATTCAAATGATCAGCTCGTTATCAAGCTCTGTAATGGCTTAATAACGAGCTGATCATTTGAATCAGGTGTGTTGGAGCAGGGAAACATCCAAAACATGCAGGACAGTGGGCCTCGAGGACTGGACTTGAGAACCACTGCTTTAGACGTTTGGGCTTGATGCTTTGGACGTTAAGTTGTGAAGACATAGGTTGCAATTTCATAAGTAAATATTTCAGATTTTAATCTCACAAAAAACATGAATGGAGAGATCCCTTACACTTGTAAATAAAAAAATAAAAAAAAGTTTTTATTTTATTTTATTTTTTTTATTAGGAATACTTTTTTGCTTTCCTGAAACTCTAGGTACACAGTTTGAAGCGAACACACTTTAAAGACCATATTTCTTTTGTTTTTCACAGAATTTTCACTTTCGATGGACTCAGTCATGTAACCTAAATGGAGGCTAAACAAAAATCTTCAAACAGCTGCTAAACAAGTCAAATCAAATCAAACACCCTGAACTGATGTGAGCTAAATCTAAATATCCAGATTTCACCCTCAAATTCGTTTTTCCTCTACAACTCAAAATTAGTTTTTTTTCCCCCCTCAAATTATGTGGGGTTCATTTAACCTTTTCCATAGATCGAAATCAAATCAAAGATTATCACATTTGTTTCACTTGGTCTTCGGGCTTTTTTATAATGCAGCAGTTGTTGAAAAATTGATTGATATTAAAAGCATTTTTGTATACCACAAAAAAGATGCTTCTTTATTGGATTCCTGCCTACCTTTTAAAAGGATTTAATGACAATAAGAATTCCTAATTTTTAAACATTTTTCTTGAAATATTTAAAGTTCAGTGACTTTCTGAACAAAGAGTAGAATATCACCCCGGTCTCACTTTCTAAAACCATAAAACCCAGGCTAACAGGGTCATATGACTGCTGTTATTACCGACAATAAAACATGTCCATTTGTGTCTCAGTCAGTCTGCTCACTGTGGCAACCTGACCCACTATTACCTCCTATCAGCCATTTATTTTCATGGAATCAGCAACATTTGGCAAAGCACACTACTCCCCGAATGAAAAGATTTATTCACTTTGAAGGCTTTACAGTGGGAGAATTAATGCTAATTTCAAAGTTGGGTACAAAATAAGAGCAGATTGAACATCATCCGAATAGCCTCTTTTTTAAATCATCTATTGTTGTGAGTTCTTTTAACACTGAATAACGAGAAGCCCAAATGTATTTTCTCAGTGTCATTGATCAGACAATCCCTTTTTCTTTCCTCAACGCAGCATCCCATCTCCCGAGCCCGAGACTGCTATTTTTATCAGTTTTGGTAGCATAATTAGATATTGAACCAAAGCACTCGCACAATAGATGAAAATAAACGGCAGAAGAGGAAAAAGATAGATACTAACAAGTCGATTTGTGATGTGTCCTGGCCCAATAGAGGACTACATTTCCATAACATTTCCATTCCTCGGCGTGCCCCCTGTATATTTGCATTATTCGACACTATTCTTTATCTCTCTTTGCGAGCGATGTCATTTCCTCATTGACCCGCGATGACAGCTGCATGGCAAAAACTGCTTTATTATACCAAGAAGAGTTTTATTACAAGAAAATATCTCTTTGATTCATCAGGTTTACGCATCAATCAGGCCTGTTTTTGTCATGTGTATAGATAGTATCGCCATCCTGTGAAAATAATTACATCTCCCAGACTAGGACTGCCTTTGAGTGCCAATGTAGTATCCTTTTTCCTTGTATGTGCTCCAATGCGGGCTTCAACCTTAAAAAAAAACATCCAATGACCCCATCATCCTTTCCCATGTATAAGATCTTTACAAAACAGCAAAAGAGGTTTCTGTTATCTCTTTAAGTTTCAATGAAGTCTAAGCACACTGCAGGGACAAAGTGCCTTCCCCCTAATTGTTTTGGTTGGAGGTAATCAATACGCAATCAGCTGCGATTTTTATTTTGCCTTGTAAAGAAACCATTTGCTAGCACTATCGCATTGTTGGCAATGTCACAGAGGTGGATATAACGGGTACATTCAGCACAAAATAATGCCACCCGGGGACGAAAAGCCCGGCAATAAAGACAACCTTTATTCAGCTCAGAACACACTGAACACACTGTCATTGAGGTGTTGATTCACCTCTGTCGTCTTTGCTAAGGCTTCATGTTGTGCATGATGTGTTGTTGAAGAATGAAAGCTGGTACAAACCCTGACGAATGGAGTGAGTTGAATTCAAAGCTCTGATCTGAAGTGCAGCCTTAAAACTATGTTGATTTAAATCAAAGCCTGTCCAACTCAGTCAAATTTGAAACACCAGTACACTGAGTACTACATTACAGGGCTTTTGGCTGTTTTGGATGTTCTGTACTCAGCACTGCTGTGTGTTTTTTTTCCGTCTTAAGTGGATTGACACTCATGCTGTACATTCTCCTTCGGTGCATGTAATAATAGGTTTTATTCCTCAATGCCAGTCACGGCTGGAGATGAAAGCATTACTTTCCCAAGTGGTTGGTGTGCCTCTCTTATTCTTGTGAACTCAATATCCGAGAAGTAGGGTTGGTTGATCAGTTGGTACATGAGCTCTTGTCAGTCAATCACACGTGTCACTGTCATGGGGAAGAAAAGCTCAGTTCATTATTTGTATTATGAAATTTTCTGTGGTCTTTTAATTGTGATTATGAAGTTTTTAGCCAAAATCGTCTTACCTGTGTCATTTTTAAGTGCTTTTCTTCTGCAGAGCTCCAGTAGATCATTAGCAATTCGCCACTGAGTCGTGGGCGGAGACAGCGCTGCTCTGCACACTTCTCTTCATGCTAGCTTGCAGTCTAACATTGCCGGTGTAGTAGAAATGGCTGGTAACGTAGGAGCTGTTCAGCTCTAGGACACTAACATCTTTCGGGACATGATGAAAGCTAATATGACAGTTAGCTTTCTTACGAGCATTGCAATCCGCTATGCATTCATGTAAGGCAGCCCGGGCCCGGAGTACGTGCTAGCAAAAAAATGAACCAATCAATGCTTAATGCGCCTTACAATCTGATGCACCTTATGTGTAAACATAGACATGTTAATTCCCAGTGCGCCGCTAGCAACAATAAACCAATCAATGCTTAATGCGCCTTGCAATCCGTTGTGCCTTATGTGTGAACGTAGACACGTTAATTCCTAGTGCGCTTTATATTCCTGTGCCTTATCGCCCTAAAAATACAGTAAATGTTAAATGTTAAATTAACTAAAAAATATATATGTTTTATCTGATTACTAGATGAATCGATGGAATATTCGGTGAAATACTTGATTACTAAAATATTCTATAGCTGCAGCCCTCAATTGTAATGTCTCCTCATTTCCTTTGCCTCTATCAACACCCTTGTTCTGTTTGACTCAGTGTAGGAAACACTGGTGGATGAAGCTGCAGCTTGACTGTAGTTGAGGCAGTGATTCTTGTTTGCGGTGTTAATCAAAGAGTAAGACTTTCTTCTGCTGCCTCCCTGCAGCAGGAGGGATGATTTGAAAGGCTGAGGCTGGTTTATGAATGAGACATCAGCAGGCAAAGTGTTGCTGTCAAACTGATTTTTTCTAATGCAGTCTAGTCAGAGTTCTCTGGTCTCTAACTCAAACTGGCTGCATATAATACAATACAAGATTTGACAGACTGTGAAAAATGCAATTTTGATGAGATGACATTATGCTGATAATATATTTAATGAAAACATTTTGATGATACCTGAATAATCTTTTTGCAAGTTAAAGTTGTGAAAAAATAAATCTGGGCCCACTAATTGGGTTCCTGGTCGTCCTTTGAATTCTAACCATCAGAGAAATATTAAATTAGCTACCAGGAACTCACAGTCCTCTGTCATTTTGGTCTCAAATTTGAAACATCTGAGAGTTCCTCAGTCCTGTTATCATCTAATTCATGAAGATGATATCTCCAAATTAGATGGTCTCTGACAGAGAGATGGGCACTTCTTCTATCTATGAAATCTCAGATTCAGGGTTGAAGATTACCGTTTTCTCTACTGGCGGTTCAGTCCAGCCAGTTCGGAAGGCTGCAACTTCTTTCATAAGACTTTTAGAAATACTATTTAAAGGTGTAGTGTGTGCTATTTGGCAGTATTCAGTAGATCAGATTTAATGAAAAGGGTGGAAATTGAAAATCTCACTGGCAGATATGGCTAAATTTTCTCTTTCCTTTTCTAAATGTCCTACGCATTGTACCTTTTTAAACAGTTGTCTATCCTTGTATTTTTCTTTGGTTCTTCTGTTTATCTATATCCCTAGATTTACAGGTCATACCTTATCTGCTGGACCAGTATGTTTCCTTTGTGAACTTCTGATCTTACAACAAAGAACTCTTGTTTCCAAAAGAGGATTATTACATTTGGTTTGGTTTGGTTTTTGAACCAAAAGGAAATGAGCAGCAATGGTTCAGTGAGAATACTGTCCACAGTTGGCTTAATTTCCACTTTTTTATTTTGAGGGTGAATTCATGGCTCAGGCAGCTTGATTTCAAGCCGTTGCCGGGGCCTCCTCCTCCTACCCTATGTGTTCACTTACTTCATCACTTTTTTTTTCTGCTTTTCTTGTTTGATAAAAAATAAAATTGGCCTCTCAAACTCCTCTGCAGCTACTTTTAACAGATTGAGTCTAAGGCTTACTCACAGTGCAAGATTTCAAGGGCCATCCATCAGTCTGATTGATGCCAAAATCTTTGTGACTCTCCAGATAATGACCTGTGGAATGGTTGAACATGGCACATTACTGGAAGGAGGATTTGTTTATGGGGTTTAAGTTTAGGATGAAATGCTCATTAAGAAAAGAACATCAAACTTCATCAATTACCAGTTGAGGAAAATATTTCCCTCGTAGAACAGATGGGGACTGTTTTGACTTTTCAGCCTAAAACTGGTTTCCGCATTGTTTACAATTTGTGTAATGATTTTATTGGCAACTGTTGCTCCCACCAAAAGCAAAGTGTAACTTTTCCCTTGCAAGTATTTATTTATAATAATAATAATAATAATAATAATAATAATAATAATAATATTTTAATTCATTTATTTTTTGCTATATTTTTATTGACATTTTTCATTTTAAAACAATACAAAAAAATGAGTCATTAGGGAAATACTATGCAGTACGTTTTTCATTTTTTCAATAAGGTTAAATTGGGTTGCTTTTTACAGTGTCACGGTTTTAACATAAGGGTCCGTCAAATATTCCAAATAGATGTGCGTCAAAAGCATGATCTTTACAAAATATTTACAGGTAGATCAATCATTGTACTAAAGTTAGTCACTAAAAAGACATGAGGCTCAGAAAAAATTCCTTATAAATGTTGTTATACAGATGACAGTACATACCAGCGATATACTTTCATACATTTATATTCTGAAATATCATCCATTTTGACCAATACTGACTGAACTTATCTAAACAAAGTCTTAATGAAAAGGTCAGCCTCTCCATATCGTACAATTTCTTTACAATCATCATCCGTTCTGCTTTTTATGGGTTCCCTAAGGCTTGTTGATGACTTGCAAATGGAAACCAGAGCACTTCTTAAAGATTGTAAAACTGTGTGTAGACAATTTGATTTGAATGGACTTTTCAACTGTTGAAAGTATAATATGAATACACAGAGTTGTCACAGTGTAAGGCTGCGAGTAAAGCTTTATATTTTAATCCTGTCTGAAGGTATTCATAACAAATCCTCCTATACAGTGAATTTGTTCATCTTAATGTCAGATTCCCTGAGATTGGCTTTAAGGTACGTCAGTATCCACTTAGAGTTTTGAGCTGGAGCTTGTCATATTTATTGAGCTTGTCTTGTTCAGCTCCAGCCTATTTAACACAAAAAAACTCAGTGTACACATATAATACAGGCATGTACAATTTGACATTGAGGCATAGCTTGTGTTTCCATTAGGGACACAGATAAGAAGCAGAAGTACTCATTAGTGCTGCTTTTATCTACCCTTTTTTTTTTTTTTTGGTGCTAATGTTGGGCTGTCTCTACTGTGCTTTGAAAACGTGTTACATTTGGGAAATGTTGCCTCGAGTTAAAAGCGTTGGAACAATGTGATAGATGATAGCACTCGCTCCTTTTTTGAAAGTCTTCTTCAAAGCACAGGTCTGAGCCAGTTAACCTATGGCTGGCGAGTCCATCACCAAATGATTTGTAAATGAGTTGTCTTTGAAAAAACTTAAAACACTGTTATATTCTACCAAAAGGGTCAATTGTTAGGGGACTGACTGTTTTGATTTTTGACAGCGGGAAGAAACTTGCATTTACTGAATAGATGTTACATGAATAATAGAGTGGCTGTCCTTGCTCAGGGTGTCAAGATTACCTGTGCAAAAATATTGATGCATCCAAGGGAGGTGTTGTTAACTCTCTTATTAGTCGTAACTGCACCTAAGTACAAAAGCTGTGTTAACACTCTTTCAGCCTGATGATAATACTCACTAATACAAGTCAGCTCTTCATCTAGCCAAGCTGATGGAGCAGCATAACTACTGCAGATGATAACCACTGCTGACTTTGGCCACATCAGGATTCTGGCAGAAAGCTGTCTTGGCACTCTCGTTCCAGCACTTCTCGATGCCAACATGGTAGCAGGTGCCACACCTGGCTCTGGACTGGTTGCCCATTTATCACAGGCTGTCCACCTGCTCAAAGAGAAGGACAAAAACATTCTCTTTACCTCTCTGATTTGGTTGGGTCAGTTTTCCAAACACTGTAATCCCTGTTGCTGCCGACACCCAGCGTTGGCCCAGGGAGGGTGTCAGCAGCCATGTGCATCCACTGTGAAACACAAAGACACTAGCTGAGTTATTACAGCTGTTAGCTGGATAGCATAATATCCTCTTAAATCAATGCAACCTTAGCGATTTGTTTTAGATGTCCTGACAAACCAGCAGAGACTACTTCTGTAGTAGCAACGATGTAATCCCTCACCAGATTTCCATCCTAGTACAAAGGAAGTTCATTGGATTATACCAATGGAAACTTGAGTTGCTGTGGTGTTGAACTTGTACAACATTACAATTTCTGTGCATTCCTTAAGATTTAGCTTGGGGTGACCATGTCAACATGGATGTAGGGATGCACCGATCCGATATTTGATAACGGTATCGATCCCGATACTGAAGAAAATTCTAAATCTGGTATTGTGACAATGGGCCCATCTAGTCTAACTCTATGCTATGGGCTGTGAGTGGCATCCACAAGTATACACGGTGAGCGGATGCCCACATTGTTTTCAAAATGGAGCGAGCAAAGGGGTCTGCTATCTTGAACTTTATCACAATACCTGAACCTACAAGCTTGACGGCCACTTGCAATACCTGCGCAATAAATGTTCCGAGGGGCAGTGGTAAAACTTCAGGTTACAACAAAACAAAAGGTAATTCAGCGCGGCTTTTCTGTAAGGGAATTGGATCGGTATCAGCCGATACTTAACTGTAGATATCTGCATCGTATCAGAGGTGAAAACAGCAGATCAGTGCGTCCCTACATGGATGGCAAAGTTTTGATTAGGTGTGCTTGTTAGCAACACACTACAAGTTTTTAGCAAGCTGCAAGTTTCTGTGTGCGAAGTTTAAATGTGCAAGATGATTGTCTCTTAAAAATTAGGGGTGTCCTGGTACAACTTTTTACCTCCGATATAAAACCGATAATGTAGCCTTCAGTATTGGCCGATACCGTATTAATCAGATATTGGCACAAACTTGTGCATGACAAGTTTTGCACTCAACTGCGACATCTTTTTCGGACTTTGACGAAAAATACTGCCACACAGCCGACCTCACTACTACTCCTTGCTACCTTTACTGTTGTTGTGATAACATGGGCTTTGTGTGCCAGAGTGGAGTGTGGAATGGACTGCTTTTATCGGAGTGCTGATATCAGTGATTTTAGATGCAGGCCGATATAATCAGATATTTGTTTTTTGATCAATATCACATCCCTATTAATAAGTGAGTAAAAAGACTGGTCCATGATGCCAGCATGTTAAACTTCACCTCTGCTGACTCTGCAAACTGCTTCTGATCAATCAAGGATAGCTCGAGTTTTACAAAATGTGTCCACACTTTGAACCTTGACAGTTACCTAAGGCCTCCTCAATAGAGCAAGATCAGGAATTGAAACAAGTCTTTTCCCCCTATGGTCAATCATGTGTGTTTCCTCACAAAATGTTTTTTCTTTTTTACTTGAGTTTAAAAAATTTGGCATTAAACTGATTGAGCAGATCTCCTGTTTGAACCTAATGGCCCTTTGAGTCCCCCTTTCAAGGTGTTGTTTTTCTCACACCATGTTTCACTGCAGTCGTTGCAGTGGTGATGTCAAAATAGACACCAACAATATAAAAAAAAAAAACAAGTGTTATTCTGCCTGTGCACGGGCTGTGTGGGCTGTGCTGGCTGAAGTCAAAAACAAACACAATTGTACCCATGGCCAGCAGTCAGGAAGAGGCAGCAGCATCTGTCGAGGAAGGCTGTTATTTGTTTTTCCTCAACTTTCTGGGTTCCTTTTCCCCAGGACAACTCTCCACCTGCTAGGACTAAACATTAGGCAGAATGGAAAGCCACAATGCCAGCTGTGACCCTATAGGGGTGTGTGATGTTTATCCCTGACTGGTGTCCATTGGATATCTAGTCTACACTGACGGACATGGTTAACACAGACTTGTGTGTTTACTTCACACCTCGACAAGGACATCGGCTTGTTAGGTAGTTAGCACAGCCTCTCAAGGGGACTTCAGTGGTGTTAGATCCAATTTTCTTTCAATGGGCTGCCCAGGAAGTCGGCTATTCTTTCTTTTGTACTTAGGCACAATCACTTTTCAGATGATTTTAAGAATTATTACAGGCACACATGGGTTTATAGAAAAAAGAGTCTCGGCGTGAACTTTGATGCATTTGAATGAGTCATTGAACTTGTCTGTGCTTGAGTTCTCCAGAGCAGGCCAGAAAATTAGCTCCTACTTGTTACTGTAGTTTATGTGGAAATTGATAATAATTGCGCTCCATAATGGTGTGAGTGATGTAATAGTCTTGAAGGTGTAAGTCTGAGCGCTGATGCTTATACTCTGTGAGCTTAGGGGAAGTTCAGTGAAACGATGAACAAGCTGCCTCGAGAAAACTTTCCTCGCTGCTTTTCTTTCTTTTCCTCATCTGATATTAAAAACAGAGAAAGAATTTGATGTTTGATTCAACTGGCCCAGTTCGTTAAATCATCTCGTATGCAGGAACACTTGCTCCAGCACAGTTTCAGCTTGTAAATTATTTCGGTTTCCTGCTTTCTATCTTAGAATAATAAAAAAGAACAACTGGTCTGTCTGACTGTCTTTGCAGACTTCTCAAAAGATGGTAAATAATGAACTGATATCAGTTCAGCTCTGAAATGAAAACTACACAGTTCTCTTTCTGCTGCACTGAAAGCCGCTCTCATTATGTAACTATTACTGAGCATGAATTAAAAACTAATTCAGTGAACACCTCTGCACTCTATGAAAGTCGAGTTGTTATAGCGATACTTATTTCAAGCAGGTAAACTGATCCAAATGAGTGAATCACTGCGTAGAAATCTATCTACTCTACATCTGATACACAAAGGAATATAGAGTCTTCTGTGCACGCTCTGTGGTTTTGTTGCAGGACCGCTGCAAACATATGCATTGTTGAGTTCAACCAACAGTTTAAGCTAAAATAAACCAAAGTCAATGACGAATGACTCTTTGGACTGTGGCAGTACTTCACAAGGTCCTCAGTGTAGGGCTGGGCCTCAAATCAATATCACGATATATTGAGCAGTTCACCTCGATAACTGTAACAGCCGCCGCTCCAGCAGCTACAACTTTTGAACCGTCCTCCATCTCCTCACCTGTCTTTCCCTCTTTGTTACTGACTGGATGGGGTGGAGTCTCGTCTCTGACGTAGGACGGTGTCTTAAAGGGACATGAGACCATAGCCTACCTACACCCATCCAAAACCAACTTTTATTTTTTTATTTTTTTGACACTGAATATGGGCGAAATGATGTCAGTTATTGGCGTAAATTTTGGTATCTGTTAATTTTCGGTTTATCGCCCAACTCTAATATGGAGTCTTCTGTGTATGCTCTTTAGTTTTGTTGCAGTACCACTCCAAACGTGGGGGCAGTGTTGAGCAGTTCAGCCAATAGTTTAAGCTAGATAAGCCAAAAACAATTAAGAATTACTCTTTAGATTGTGGCAGAACTTCACAAGGTCCTCAGAGTCTCTGTTGTATCATACAGGTGCATAAAGGAGCTAAAGGAAGTGTGATTCAATGGTGAAGCTTCAAAGCTGCTTTTACTAAATGTAAAGAAACTGTTATTCACATCAGCCGCTGTTAAGTAAAGGAGCATTTATGTGGTGTGGAGCTGTTTGACCTCTGAGGTCCAGTGAAGAGTGTTTTGAATGCTTCTGGGTCCAAAGTTCTCGAAGCCCTTTGCCCTTTGACCACTTCACCCCAGTAAGGACGATGAGGTCGGACACAATATTTAGGTCCATGGATTTATTTATTTGTTTTAGAGAGTTGGTTAAGTTTTTCGATAAAGTTACACTTCTACTATTTTACTTTACTTTCTCTAAGAGCATCAGACTCCTCAGTTCATGGCCCTTGACTTATTTGTTCAGGTCGTGTTCTCATTAACATTCATTCCTTAAGGTATGCTCGGGACAATTCACCAGGCAGTGCTTCTGCAAATGTGCACCTGGTTTTAGAAGAGTCTAGCTAGACTAACACCAGGTTTACTGACCTGGGAACAGCAGGCGTACTACACCGCAGCGGCGCCTTTGAGCGGCAGCACTTCATTAGTCGAAGCAATTACTTTTGGGCAGCTGAGGTTTCACCTGAGTTCCACGAGCGTGTGTAACGGATTGAGACTATGGACCTGCACCTCATGAACGAGTCATAGTGACCCCGTCGAGATTGAAAGGGACAAAAGTTTTCTGCAGTGGAGAACAGAGAAACCAAGTTTGGAGAAAATTATAACAATCCCACTTAGAGTTTCTTCTCTTTTATGGTTTATTTGACTGAAGCTCATAACTTTGATCAAAATGGTCACAACACAAATTGGTTTTTTAAAGTTCTCTCTTTCTTTAGAAGGTGAAGGGTGTATTATATTAGTCTTGCTTAACTCATACCCTTAAAGACATAGAGATGTCTCCTTGTCTGAGGTTTGCTTGTTTATTTCCAGTCTAAAAAAACACCCACCTCATCTACATAATAATATCTCCCCAGGGCCCCTTTGGTATTATTCTTTATCACCTCACATAATAAACTCTTAGCCCCCTTGTTACCAAATTATATGACCGTTATAAAACTGCACAGTCATTGCACTAACCTGCCCCCACTCTTTTCCTCACCCCTATGTGACAGGTTCACTTCACTGTCAACATTTTCGGCTCAGCTTTTAGGGGTGGGAATCACCAGTGGTCCCACGATATTATCACGATACTTGGGCCACGATAACATTTTGCAACGCAGTAAATATTGCGATACAATACATTGCAATTTATACTTTTTTTTTCTTTTCTAACTGTTTGGCTAATTTAGCAATTGGCTTTCCTTTGTGTTTGCGTTCCAGTTGTACTCTGAAGTCGGGATTTCCGAGCTCCGAGTCAAAAATGAATCTAGAATGCCCCTCCTGAAGTCGGATTTCCGACTCGGAAAGTCGGACGATCCTCGCCAACTTGACGACAACGTCATAATTCAAGATGTGGTTCAAGTAAAAGCTCTTGTATGTTTTATTTGTTAGGACTTCTGTTTTTTTGTGAAATTTAATAAGTGGTATTTGTTGTACTGTCCAACGTCTAACTGTGAACACGGTGCTGTGGTGTTTGTCGAGTAAATACTGTATTCTGCGTTGTTTACAACTGGTATAGCTAACAACAACTAATAACAGCTGACAACCGCTAACAACAACTGATAACGGCTAATGACAGCTGACAATTGTAAACAACAGCTAACATCGGGTAACTATAGGCATCCATCTTGGTTTTCCGACTTGTTAACTGGAACACCGTCAACTTGGGTTTAACGTCATTCCCAGCTCCGACATCCGACTTCCGAGATGACTAGAACGCAGCATTGATTATGCAGTATTTTATTTTCATGTATTTGTATATTTTTGTTAAACTAACTTTCTCCTGCTCTATGATGTCACCTCTGCCAACCTCACTGGACGAACAGTTAATTTTATTTTGACTTGACTTTATATTAGCAATTAATTAAAAAAATTGATACTTGGTAAACTAGACGTTATGATATATCGCCAGACAAAATATTGCGGTACTATGCCGTCTTGATTTTTTTTCTCCCACCCTTATTGGCTTTGTCCTACATTAAATTAACCCACTTCCCATTATCCCATTTGGTCTGTAACCTCTCTCTATTAAAAAATTAAAAAAGTTTTCACTAATTAGCTTATGAATAATTTGCTCTAATTCAACAGGTGACTACATTTCAAAGTTTACTGCAGAAACACCCCGCGAGACGAAAACTCCCACGTCCTGTGAATGCTAAAACAAGGCCAGCCGAATGTAGGGCAGTGCTCTTCTTCACCCCCCTCGCCTCCTCTGGTGACAGAGACAGGACTACAAGAAGTAGACATATGCGTCCTGCTACAGGGGCCAAGCTTAAGGGAACATGCTGTGTAACGTACACCACCTGTGTGCCTCCCTGGCTGCTGTATTACTGTGGCTACAGTCACTGCGACAGGCTCAGCAGAGGTCATTTGCATACTTTATGACTCTAGGTAAAAGGAGATAGCAACCATTAGAAGGGAGGCAGGGACGGTGTGTGTGTGTGTTTGAGAGAGAGAGAGAGAGAGAGAGGAGATGGTAAAAGAGTGCTGTTTAGCCTGACTCATAAGGGCCTGCAGTTAAAAGCGTTCGAATCCATCTTCAGGCCTGAGGATGAGCTGATAGGTGAAGAAGAGCAAACACTTTAGAGGTAGGTTGTTTTTGACACTTCGTCTCCTACCAGACACATGTTTTGTAACCTGGCCTTCTGTGATGCTGTCTCTCTCCTCCTGTTGTTGCTGTTGTTGTTGTTATTGCGTCTGACTCTCTACTCCCAGAGCTAACTCCGTCTCAGACCTCGGTGTCTGTACACTCGCCTCTTGCTTTCCTCTGTCCGTCTTGTCAGCGATGGATCAAATAGAAATCCCCGAGCACAGCTTCTCTTAGTGAAAGTGTTTAATGAACTGCTTTCTACGCTTGTTGTGTTTAAAGTGGAAACAAAGCAACCGGAGGAGAAGGAATAACAGATTCAAATTGAGATCTTTGTATTTACGCAAAACAAAGAAAACTCAAGTACTTGTTGTTTGCTTCTGGCAAAAGTTATTGACCAGACATGAGGAAGTTTATACGGCCGTATCACATTCCCACCATTTGTTTGCTGAGTCACAAGGGCAGGGAGTGAACTTTATCCCCAGCTGAGCAACATTACGCCGATGCTAATCATTTACCTTGAGCCTGGACTGATGTAAGAAGTAGTAAAACAGTAGTCCCTCACGTGTCGTCCCTGTCTACTGTAAACTGCAGGTGGAAAATAAGTCCTCCTTGAATGACATGTCTTAATGAGTGATTAAGTGCGAACATTAAGCCTATCTCCTTTTATCTATCATTTCCATTTGTTTCTAATGAATGAGTAATTAGCTGCTAAAAGTGATTGACAGGTTGCCCCAGGAAGCAAGAAACAAGATGCTGAGAAATCTTCTCTGACTCTGAAAGTAATTACCTTTAATGACTGACTTGATATAAATAATATTATCCTGACGAACGCCATTATCATACAGGTTTAAGTGTCTGAAATAAAACAAAATAGTGGGTGTTAAAAGATATATTTCATATTTTTCTTTTTTTTGTTTTATTTGTAAAGGATAGGAGAGTGAATGGATGAGGAGAAAAAGTGAGGAAAGTTGTGATTTATTTTGTTTTCCTTGTTTATGAATTGTTTATTTTGCACTCATATCGTTTCCACACATGTGGGAAGAGGGGAGCAGGTCAGAGGTCAATCCAGTTCACGTGCTTGAGTATATAGCTAGCACGAAGAGTGGGATTTATGGGGAAGTTATGATGTCTGATAACAAAGAAAATACACGTTTTCTCCTTTTCTCTTTTATAACTGACATTGCAGGGAGTTAAAAATTGAGTTTCCTTGGGGTAGTGATTTAGTTCTTGAGAAATTAAATAGGTCTTTTATTGTGTTTTGATGATGGTGGGGCAAAGTTTCATATACTCAACAGATGTATTCAGATTTATGTCCAAAATATGAACTTAAAATTCCGATTCTGAAACGAACTCTCACATTTGCGTCATGCACACATTTATAGCCGTCCCATTCAAGATTTATAAGTCATTTTGAAGTTATATAAATGACATTATGGAATTGTAAATCCCACAAATTGTTTTGCATGTGGGGAACATTCATATTCTGCATTCAGTTAAAGTCTTATCTAAATTTCCATGTCCATATCTCACGCCCCTTTTATGGAGTCATAAATCCATGCTCGTATATCGTGGTCTCATGTCGGAGAGTGCAGACATTTCAGATGAACAAGTTTCCTCAAAGACACTACCTGACTTTAAACACAGTGATTGTGAAGGTTCTTGCTGTGACATGTGACATTTACACAAGCACAAGTGCAACAATGACAGGAGCTGCTGACACCAGGATGAAGCAGCCTAAAATAACCGCACAATAATAACAGGCTTCTTATTTTATACAGCCATATAAAAAGTATAGTCTATATAGAATATAATTAGGTGTGTATTATTAATTACCTTTAGCAATTATGCCATGAAAGGTCATCTTTTATCTTTTGAATCTGAGTTTTGATGGAAAAAGTAAAATAAAATAAAAAAAAAAACAGAAGAAGGCAACTCAAAGAAATAATTCAAAGCAATGCCCTTTGAGAGGCTACTTCACGTTTCCGTAATCAGACCACCCACTGGGATTAAAATCTGTGTTTACGCTTGGAGCAATATACAGACATTGGTTATGAATTAGTGTTTTACTGTTTTATATTGCATAAAAGAACATGCTGCATCATAAAACACTAATGGGCGGGAATGACTTATTCATCATTTATACGTTTTCATGGTCAGTTCATACGGACCGTGCTGGCATTTAAAAAGTTTGCCATTTGTGCTGTAGATAGTCAGAAACAGTAAGATAAACTTCCTCACAAACCTTGTAGTGAGGTCCAGAGGAACTAAACGCCCTTAAATTGCAGGGAATTCAGTGTGAGGGTCTAAAAGATAATCAAGATTCATCTGTAGGTCAATAATAAACTGTTTCCTTTCTGCTTGGAAGAGCTGGCACAGGGAAAGGCCAGAAAGATGCCCCGGGGAGAGCAGGGTGCTGAAAGCCAGAAAAAGTCAGCTGAAGGCTACAGTCGACTGTCTGGAGATAGTGCAGTCAATGCTGTATGCAGCCTGTGGATGTTGTGGCTACGAAACTCATCAGATTGTGGATGAAACATAAACATTGAGAGCTGAATCAGACATGGAATTGAAGTTGTGACTGCATTGTTATAACTGGGGCGACCAATAAAATAAGAGCGATTCAAAAGCAATACAGTGAAAGTAATGCTAAACACTGTGATGATGCGGTGTAGCTTGGAAAAATGTTGTATCACCACTCTTGAGGAATAAATGTGCAGCTTAAGTGTTATGAGCTCTGGGTTTTTCAAATTCTCATACTCAAGTTCCAGCGAGCAGAAGCTGTTCATTTAACTACGTTTACTAAAACCATAGTGCTGTCAAACACACCGAGCATACGGAGCGAAAGTGAAATTGGATTATAGTGGGGTTTGGAAAGTTTCTTTGGTTCTTCAGTTTTTTTTTTTAGCCCTAAAAGTAGGCCATCATTTGTAACCGCCTTAAAATCAACCTGCAGCGAAGAGGAAGAAGCATGCCAGCAGTTTTGAACTTTTTGAGCTGTCTTTTAAACATCTTTTTTGGTATTCATAAAATAAGTATTGTGGAGCATTTTTTGAATGATTAGTACAATTCCATAAAGGTGCAAATACACTATATTTTTATGCAGTCTACAGATAAGAAAAATATTTATGTACAATTGCGCTTATTTTCATTCTGCACATTATTCCATTACATATTCTATTACTGAGATTGCAGCTTCTTTCCATACTTAAAAACTCATTTTTACAAGTAGTAATGAATAACTAAGCGGATTTGTTTAGTACATATTAAACATAATCATCATTGGATTGTGTGGTCAGATCAAAAGCAAAGCAAAAATCCTAATTTTAAGATGTGTCTGCAAAAAAACAAAACTCCATATAGTTTGTTACCCTCCACTTGGACCATATCCTACATACAACAAAGCCTCATATGTAAATAAGGGGTGAGGGAAAAAAATTGATACAGCATAGCATCACGATATTTTGTCTGGTGATGTATCTTATCGTCTCATTTACCAAGTATCGAGTCTTCAAATTAATTGCTAATATGGAGTCAAATCTATGATAATGGAAAAATAAAATCAACTGTTTGTCCAGTGAGGTTGGCAGAGGTGACATGATAGAGCAGGATAAAGTTTGTACAACAAATATATATAAGGTTTGCAAGATGTGCCACATAAAAATAAGATATAGTTTAAGTAAGACAAACCTAAAGGAAGGCCAAATGCTAAATAAGTTGAACAGTGGAAAAACTTGTACAAATTGCAATATATTGTATCACAATACTCACTGTATTGCAAAATGTTAAAAATCGCAATAATATTGTATCGTGGCCCAAGTAACATGATAATATCATATTGTGGCCGAAGTATCATGATAATATCGTATTTTGGCCCAAGTATCATGATAATATCCTACTGTGGCCCAAGTATCATGATAATATCTTAATGTGGCCCAAGTATCATGATAATATCCTACTGTGGCCAAAGTATCATGATCTTATTGTGGCCCAAGTATCATGATAATATCTCATTGTGGCCCAAGTATCATGATAATTTTGTATTGTTGCCCAAGTATTATGATAATATTGTATCGTGGCCCAAATATCATGATAATTTCCTATTGTTGCCCAAGTATTATGATAATATTGTATCGTGGCCCACGTATCGTGATAATATCATATTGTGGGGCCACTTGTGAGTTCTATCCCTAATGTAAATGGTTAAGTACTTCTAGAAAAACATATGTACCGCACACGGAAACCAAAAAAACTTCCCGTACAGACCAGGCCCTTGAGTACGAAGTCCACATTTTATGTAAAACTCGTAAATATTGTCCGTGGAGAAACGTGCTGAGTTACGTCATAATGTCCCACCAATAATTCAGCCAAAGATAAGATAAAGACAGATAAGCAGATCCTTCAGTCTGTCTTATTCCACTGTAGTTCATGAGCTTCTGCTGCAGCCAGGCTGTGGGGAAGCTTATGATTGAGATAATGACAGAAAGAAAAAAAGGCAGATTGAATGAAGGCGCACAGGGACTTGTATATCCTTCAGAGGGCTTTAGAGTGGCCCTGTACTCACGGATGCTGTCGTCATCCTCTGCTCTCATACTCGCTGACAAATATCCGTCGACTCTTCTGATCATCCAAGGGGCTGAAGTAATGCGCTTAGTTGTCTCTTGTCCCTGAGAGTTGGCCGTGCATTTTCTGACATTCTTTCAATACTTTCATTTTCAGATCCCTCTATCTTCTCCTTTTCTCTGTTGCTTTCCAGGGTTTCTCTTTGAAAGTTATGATACAGTGAAATGCTGATGCTAGCCAGTCCAAAACATGCCCGAAATGTAGCGAGAAAACAATCTGATTTATTGTCTGTGTTCCTCATGGAAGATTAAAATGATGATCTGGAAAACACTCCACGCACTGTATGGTTTCTGTTCTCTGGAGGACTGCGGCTGCAATGCAAATCACAATCATACCCTCTCTTGTTACTTGTTATCTCTTCTTTAGATGTGGAATTGAAAGAGAGTCCTTGAGCTGGGCTTTTCCACTTTTCCACACTCACAAACACACACATACACCGTCTTTAACAGCTTGTCTTTTTTTTTTTTCCTATCACAACTCTGTCCACACACATTGTAAGATGTATGGGTTGAGTATATTCTTGGAGATGTTGTTTACCCTTCATGCTTGACGTGATTTCAGAGTGGAGGTGGTCCTGAGCTGTCCTTCTTTGGCGCATTACATCTTTCAGAAGACGAGGCTTGAAAGCTGTGCAAGCAAATGCAGCACATACTCAATTATACAAGCATTGATGGAGTCGAGTGGTCATGCGTATACTGCATCTATGGGTACTCTGTTTTGTCCATTTTACCCTTGTGCTGTTCAATAACCGACATCCTTGACAAAGCATTCACAAAGTAGGCTAAAAAACTGAAACTAGAGCAGAAAGACGGCAAAAGAAAAATAAACCAAATGCAATCTGTGATACTTGAATAGCAATGGTTGTAGTATGATTCAATGCAATATTACAAGCTGGGATTACTATTTACTAAAAGCATGAGTATTCTGTTATGGATGAGAGTGCTTATTTAGCCGCCTTGAAGCATGGGAGCCTCAACTTTCCCATGCCGGTAGATAAAACATCCATGAAGCAGTAAGCAGTAAATAATGTAAACACACAGAGGGAAGATGGAACCAGTACAGAAAGAGGAAATGGAGCGTTAAAAGGTAGCACATTTGTCAGGACTACCCTTGGGCTAAAAAGCCCATCTCTATCCCCACCTGCCCCACCTTGTTCACAACCTGTAAGCTTCAAAGTCTCTGCAGAGTATCAGTGAAAGTCCTCTGTAACGTGGTTTGAACACAGCAAGGGAACTTGTTGTGAGCTGTTGGGGGACAAGAGATGCCATTTGACAGGCTAATAAACTTATTACATATGAAGATACATATAACGTGCAGTTTTGATTGACATGTTTGCACACTGTTAAAAGAACAATCGAAAAAATACACACCAACAAATGGTAACATGATCAATTTCTTATTGTTTTAATCATACTGCATTGGCAGGAAAATCAACTCAGCACAATGGTCGGAGATTGTATTGTATCACATCCCTCCATACTGTTTCATGTCAAGATTGTGTCCAACACTGTATCCTATGTTTTCAGTCTTTGTTGTATCATAGAGTTTGTAATTGTATAATGATTATATAGCAGTTGTATAGGACCAGTTTGTTTTGTGCATAGACTGTATATAGAATGGACATCATCTGCCTCCTTGCTGGGTGAAGCCACTCTGAGAACAGCACCCTCTGGTGACGGGCTAGAGAATAGGTCATAAATACCACCAACTCCAGCAATCCCAATGGAGCTGAACTTAATTACACAGAATATACATTTTTCTCCCCCCTGGTTCTGATGTTGACATGTATTTACTGTAAGACTGGTTTATAAGTCCTCTTTTTTTCTCAACAGCGCCGTTTTTAAAAGTTACCAGGGGGTTTATGTTTTTATGATTGACAGTTGATATAGCCTATGGCCGTACAAGGATTGTGTAGCCTTCCCTGGGGATACGCTGTTTGCGCCGAGCGTCATCACAGCGACTCTCCCACCGAATGGGTACAATGCTACTGCGGAAGTGGTGGTTTCAGAAAGTGGAGAAAATCCTCGAAATACCGAGAGCATTTTTGGCTTCAAATTCACATAATGACGGAAGGCGGAGCCAAGTTCTCCATAGTGTATAAAGTCTATGGTTTTGTAACAGTATCATACTGTAAAGGTGTTAGCATTGTATCCTAACCATATTCATTCTGTATCATTTTCTTTCATATCACATCATACTGTGCTGTACCATATTGATGTGTCACATAGTGTCATACCGTACTGTACTGCACTGCATTCCATGCTCTTCTATATGGTATCATATCATCCTGTTAAAGAGCAACATCTGTCAGAGGTTTTAATGTGATCTGTTTTTCTTTTTTTTGGGGGGATGTTAATTTGGCTTTTCAATACTTGAAGTCAAAGATATATAAAGTTGTACTTTGTGACAATTCTAAGAGCATTAGGGCAGAAAAGAAATTCAGTAACATTTGAGTTTTATTCATTTCATTTCAGTGAAATGAATGGGCATCTATCATACCAACCAAATCTAAACACTGTGTTTATTTTCCATGAGCTGTTTATTTCTTTTTTGAATATTTTGAGTCCTTAAATACCTCTGGTAAATGTCTTAATTGAAATTCTTCACTTTGCAGGACTGAATAGAACCAATGAATGAGCTGCAGTCAAAGGAGAGAGACTGTCAGCTGTGGAGTTTTTATTAAAGGTCATACTTGTAGCTGGGTAATAATGCCATTCAGATCTATTTGTTTATCATCTGTATAATCAGTGTTCTGTGGCTGATAAAACAAGCAGTAAATATTTTACAGCAATCTTTGGTGCACATAAAAAAGTAAAGCATTTGCCCGTGAAGTTTTTGTCTTTTGTTTTACTCCGGTCCCAAAATGGTTTAATTAATTGGTGGAGAATTTGTAGCACAGCAGTTGTTAATGAGACAAGGAGCACAGTTTACATTGCCTCATCCCACTTAAAGAGGGAAAAGGAAGGAGATTCTGGTTTGTTTTAATAGCTTTGTATGCAGTACATTAAGTAAAACAACCACATGAATAAAGATTCTTCCTCTGGATCCAAGCTGCGTAACCTCCTCGTGCTCACACATTGCCCCATCCTGAGATGTGCTGAGTACAGGTGATAATAATTCTTAGAACAGGTGCTGCACCATAAGCCCCAAGGCCGAGGGATGTGAATGATTAGTGGCACTCCCCCAAGATGCATTGCTCCTCTGTATTAAAACCAAACTCTGCCTTTTATTCCCTCCAGGGTTTATTAAGTGGGCCAGTTGCCATAGTGACGCTTTGGCAGGATATTGCCAGGATAAGGCGTAATGGGTCTCCTGACGCAGTTCACTCTGCTCCTGTGGAAGAACTTCACTCTCCGGAAGAGACAAAAGGTACACTTGCGCTCGCAAACCCCCCCTTTTGCAAATCAACCAAGATCTACTTAAATTGGTCAGCGAAGGAGGGAAAACGAGGATATGGTCCCAGGGTTGTTTTATCAAGGGCAAGTAAGTTATTCATGGTGTGTGGGGGGTTAGGTAATAGGAGGGATTTACAATGAAAATTGTCTCCTATAGAAGTAAGCTGCCCTCAACTCTCCCACTAGAGAACAAGAACAATCTTAGCTTAATGCCAGCCAATTTGAAGTGTCACCTTCAATTTTTGGAGATCTATCTCTGGTGCACATTTTGTCACATTGCCTGTATTTTAGTCCTAACAAAGCCAGTCTGTGGCCTAATAGAAAGGGATAGGGAGTGACGAATGTTGAATGCTTTCTTTGAAGGGCAAGTACTCTTTCGGGCTCTTCTTCTACACTCACTGTCAGTGCCTGCCCTCTGAAGTTTCACCGCATTTTACAAAAGTTACACCAACACAACTTGAATTCGAAAAAGTACTTCTCTTACTCAGCACGGTATAACGGCTAACGCTCAACTTTTCAAGGGCGTATAAATAATCTTACACTCACCAACCAAACCATCAGTATTAATAACCTCTTCAATGTGAAAAATGCTTTAAAATTCAACAAAAAAAATCTTTAAAATTTGGTTAGTTAACTTCTCCTTAGTAACTATGTAGTTAGCCCAAGATTGGGTCAGAAAGTTTACCAAATATTCAACTTTTATCACATTTTGAGACACTTTTTCAGTGCTTTTACTTCAAAACTCTCTGAATTGTACCCCTCAAGAGAGAAAAATATCTCATAACACTTTGATCTTCTTAGTGTCCAATTCAGATTTTCTGAGTGAGATCTCAAGCTTTTATCTAAAAACAGTTTAAGGTGTGTTCAGTCCGAATACAAAGCATTTTTCTTTGTGGAGCTGTAACATATTGAGTTCAATTACTTTGTTGTGAAATATTCACATGACTGTGCTCTGACAGTCTGTCAATGTTGAGATTCTCTGACACGTCCTGAAATTGCATCAAAATTGTCAAGTCTAAATTACACCGAGAAGGTTGGCTTTTGAAAATGTCATATTATGGATAAACCTGATGACAAATGAACCCCCACTTTTTACAACTTATATCACCTTGAGTGGGTTATCCCAGTTTATTCACAACCTAGTCTCTTTCATGGATACATCACTCTTTTGTAATCTAGATTGCCAGATTTAGTGACATCTGAGACAACTAATCAGATGCTCTGTAGCTAACTGCGCACTGGTCAGCCTCCAGTCGTAATCTGGAATAGGGTTACATCACAAAAGTTGGGAAATCCAACCAAGTTAACACAAACAACACCAGATAACAAGCAATTCATCTTAACAAAGAAGTAAATTGTCTGTAATTTTGGGCTGCACAATAATTCAGAATGTCATTTTTTATCATGACATTACAATTAGAAATAAACACGTCACGAAAGACAGAAGTTGTAGCAATAAGAAAGAACAATGGACACTGATCAAAACATATTTAATGAAAACAGATAACACACAGGCTTAGTGTTAATCTATTTTAATATAAAAGAAAGGTTTGTTGACATATGAAGCAACTGATTGTCTTTTTATTTAAAAGAACATTTAACTCCAACCAACCAACTCATTTAAAGGTAAATAAACAGTCAGAATTGAGTACAATTTGATTAACACGAAAACTAAAAGTCATTAACACAAACGAAAAACAGAATAATTAACACACACATATCATTCTAAATGCTATTTATGGGTTTTAATGCCATTACTCAGAGGGGACAGATCAATGGATGGAGGGTGAAACTAGGAGACAGCTGGGGTCTGCAGGCTGGAATCAACTCATGTGGGTAGCCTCTGTACATGGAGTCCAAAACCGAACCACTTTTTCAAACTGCACATCACTTTTTTTTTTCTTTTTTTTTTTTTGTGCAGACCAATTGTTACCCATACAGATCCTGCAGTCAGACTCCTTCTGGTTAGGAGTTTTCTTTGCTTTGACAGAGTCTTTCTTTTCTCAAGTGTAGTTCAGTCTGAAGTCTGAGTGATGTGAAACTTTTCCGATCTTTGTGCACCAAACAAAACCGAAAATGTTTCCCCTCCTACATGCAAACGCCTGTTGAATATGAATGATGGATATTTTCCCTATGATAATTGAATTCTGAGCACGAGTATTGATACAAACCTTCAGAGTGGTGTGTTTCACATACAACCTCATTGATTCAGACAACTTTTTAAACGTTTTAACTGCTGTCGAGGCCAAAGTCTCTTTAGCGGTCTTTTCCCTTCACAAAAGCCTTCACATGATCGACCAGTGATGTGCACAGGAAACTATTGCTTCTGTTGTCACCCACACTGGGTGACAATGTCACAGAGAGCAGGATGATAACAGTCTCACCCAGTGTCCCAAAGCTTCTGGAGGGTCAGAACAGGCTGTTATGGAATCTGGTTAGCCGTATGAATCATTTTGGAGGCTGATATAGATGTAACAAAGAGCTGCTGTGTGTGTGTTCTTTGATTTATACCCTCGCAGTGCTGATAGCAGCCACATCCACCCACTTGTTTTGTTAGGGGTTCAAGAAACAGCCGTGCGTCTGTTGCCAAAGTAGAACAAAAGAGATCTTCACAAAATAACTCAGCTTTTATCAAAGTTCATACTTTCTCAGAATAACTCAAGGCAAAGTCATTTGCAGTTGTACCACTTTGGATCTTCGAAACAGTTCCCTAGTTAATTTTCTCAACTCGCAGGAAGAACAGGGTGGTATCTTTTAGTCAAAAAAGGAAATACGGGCCCACTTTGTGTCTGGAAACTACTTGGACACTGGCGGTTTTGTCGTGGAATGTGTGATATTTGGCAAACGTCAACATGAAATATTGTTATTAGACAAAACCGATGGGAGTTAGCAAGGACAATGGTGCTTCTGGAGGGCTCGTGGAGGTTAATGACCAATTATATGAATGCCTCACCAAGCATTTTAAGGTTTTATAACAGGCATGAAACTGATTTTATGGTCCAGTATTTCACATAATTTCATAGGAGGAGATAATCTGTTCACAAAGACGCCGGTGTCCGACGGCAAGCGCCTGGGGAGCCAGACGCCGAGAAAGTCCCCGTGATCTGTGTGTTCCCTCTCCGTGAATACATTATGATAATTCACCTGCTCAGCAGAACTACATCCTCTCTGACACACACATATACACACACTGGAGGGAATTAAAGGACAGAATTAGAAATTCCATCTAGTTTCTTTGAAATAAGTGCAATGGGATTTTCTGCAGGTTTCTCATCTGTAGTTCATCGATGAAATTCTGAAACAGGAGATTGACTCTGTGTACATATATCCAGCTGAGTCCTCATTTATATTCTACTGCAGAGATCTTACTGTAATCAATAAGGTTGCTGAATCGCTGTAACATCCAGGCGATATTTATTGTTATTATTGTATTTTCCTCACCTCTGCCTGCCCTTTAGTTCAATTATGAAGACAACAACCTCTGTATCGATGCTTTCTCTCATTATTTCTGCCATCAGATTCTCTGTCTAAACATGTTACAAAAAGATGGAGAAGAAGACCGGAGCTCCTTAGCAGGTCACTTCACTCCAGCAGACATGTTGGGAGTGATGAGTGTGCAGGCGGACAGGGTCAGCTGAGGTTAGCAGAGACGGCTCTGGAGGTTACCGAGCGGTGGCGGGCCAAGGGATGCGTAAAAGCCTCCGTGGCAGAGAGTGGGGGGTTCAAGAGTCAAAAAAAGAAGAGCTAAAGCATTGTAATACTTCATCTGGGAAGTAAAACTTCCTGTTGAAAACACACCAGCGTAAGGATGATGGAGTGAAATCTACAAATGCTTCTTGGCCAGCTGCTTTTGGAAGTGCACGTTCTTTTGAAATATGCATGGAGCCGCTTCACTTCTGAGAAAGCAGTAGTAAAAAATAAGCATGTATGTATGTTTTCTAAATGTAGAAAGTTGAACCTGTTTTACCCCAATGTGGTTCAGAAATAACCTCCTTACTCTAAGGTCTTGGTACTTTGTCTCTTGAACATCCCCGGGCAAACTGAGGGGTAAAATATGAGGGGGGAAAAAAAACCCTTGTGAACAAGAAAAGCCTTGAGGTTATCCATTTGTGCTTTGTAGGTTTCTCTTTTTACCTATTCCCCGAGGTTAAAATAAAAGCCTGGCATGTCACATGGGATGCTACCTGCTGGCAGGTACTAAAGTGGTTGTATTGAAGCGAAGGAAGCGGTTGGTGCTCTTCATCCAGAAGAGGATTAAATGTGGCGAGGAGATGATAAGGAGTGTGGGATAGCTTTGGCTTGGGGAATCACAAGCAGAGGTTGCTCTCTCAATCCTGTAAGAGCTTAGACCAGGAGCAAGACTAACAAGAAAACATGCGGACGATTGCATGTGGAGCTGTAT